ATCCTTTGCGAGTTGTTGCGACTTTCCGGGAGGCTTCCGTCCTTCTGCCGTGGCTTTCCTTCGACTCCTTGCGTCTTCCACCCCCAGATACAAGAGACCCGGAGCGACGTATTTTAGTTTCTGCTGATTACACTGTCGGTGGTCGTCCATGTGACGAGACAGTGCTGTGGCACTCTCATGTCTCATGTAAGCAACAGCCGGTGCTTCTTGATTTCTTGGGATGGGCCCAATGCAGTGCTTCACTCATCGTCGGGTTGTCTGTTGTTGGACTGCTGTCGTCCTTGTCTGTGCCATCACCTGTCCGAAATTACAAGTCCATTGAGCCTGGGCTTGCTTCGCTACGGCTCTTCGCTGACATTGTACGGGGGACCTTCTTCCTTTGGTCCAAAGGGGTGCGCGCCTTTGTTGTGACTGCCCAGCTTGACTGCCCTGGACTTTTGGCTCTGGGTAACCTCGCCCCTTTTAAGGAGCGCCTTGGCGGTCAGGAGGTGATGTCCAACTTCCACGGGGTTTCGACAGCCGGTTTTTGTTTCACTTCAATTAATGCATGCACATAGGCTGCGCCCGAATCGGACTCTGTGCCTTCGAAAGCGAAAGCGAAATGTATGTATGTATGTATTTATGTATGTGTGTATACAAACACGCACTTACACAAATATACATGCACACATGTACATACACACTCTGCATTCATAGATGGATAGATGGATAGATAGTTAGATAGATAGATAGATAGATAGATAGAAAGATAGATAGACAGATAGATAGGTAGGTAGATAGATAGATATTTAGAGAGATAGATAGGTTGACAGATCGATCGATGGATGGATAGACAGTAGATAGTTACATAGACAGACATACACACATATACATGCATGCTGCATGCATTTATGAGATTCCGGCTCCCGGTTCGCTGACACCCGGTCGTTGCAGCACCCAAACCGCACCGCCACACGCCACACAGCAGCGGGAGAGAACGAGAGTTCAGCAACCATGATGCCAATACCGAAGAATGCAGGCAGCCGAACGAAACATACCACGGAGGGGGGAGGATAGACCGCCAACCATGCCAACCATGATGATAATACAAGATCCAGAGACTCCAAGCAGACCCCCTGACAACCATGTATATGTCTGCTGTGACATGGGGGATTGTCTCTCTCCACTCAGGCTTTCGGGCATGAAGTGGGAGCGGGTTTCCACTGACCGGCTTCGGCACCGAGCCTGGAAATCGGCACCATACCGCAGGCACCTTTTGAAATTGCGACAGGTCATGCAACTGGACCACTGGTCTGCTTTGCACGACAGCAGACTCTGTGCCCCGATGCCTTACGCCCCAGGGGATGCTCTTGGCAGGCTCCGAAGGATCTGGAGGCGGCTTCTGCGAGCGCTCTGGAACATGCGCTAGGCTTGGGGCTTTGACTGGCTTTGACTTTGACGTGGTCCGCTTATTCGTGTGCAGTCGAGCAGTCCTGCGCAGTGGCCCGGCAGATGATGCGCTGCTTCAGCGTCCTGCCCGGCATCATCCTCTTCTTAGGTCTTTCCCTTTTTTGCAGCGAGAAACAGTCTGCTCCTCCCTCTCTCCACAAGTTTCTGTCATTGGCACCTGGCCGAGGGCCGCTGCGGCGTTCGTGGCGGGAGCGTCTGCAGCCACGGATGATCCGCAGTTGGACGCTGTCGATACGAGGACTCAGTGCACGGGCGAGTCGTGAGATGATGTGACTCTACATTTATACTAATATATATATATATATATATGTACATATACATACACAACTAACTCAGACATCATCGGTTTATGTGTCCATCCGGCATGTCTCCACCATCCGTGTCTGGTCGACTCGGCTGCGCACTTCAATGCCACGCTTGTCGAACATATGCCTGATCGGAAGTGGGGCTTGTTGCATGCTGTTGGTGAGAAGGCTGAGGTGTCGTCAATGATGGTGGAGAGAAGTAAGTGGGTCACTGGGTCCGAGTCCGAAGTGCAATCTCTGCCTCAGGTGCGGATGCAGTGCGTCGTTGTCCGTCGAGCCAATCTGGCCCCAGCAGTCCAGCCAGCCGGTGCCGTACAACTGGGCAAGCAGGCATAGCAGGCAAGCGGGGTGCCCTCCCAGGGCTTGGAAGCCTTACAACCCCGAAGCCCTGGCCTGCAGAAGCCTTAAAACAAAGACCTTACGGTCAAAGGCGAGCAAAGATGCCTTCCCGTTCAGCTTGCCACTCATGACATCGGCAGACTAATGCAATGGGACCCCCTTAGATCCCCGTTTGGAAATGATTGCGCCCGGCCCAGTCCATGGAAGAGGAATATGCCAATGAGATCCCCCCAAACCCCCGAAAGCAGGCTTTCACTACGAAACTGCAATTCAGAGATGCATGTGAAAGCAAGCCCTCCGCGACAGAAGCGGCACACTGAAAAACCTGACAAACCACGAACACCCAAATCCTGAGAGCCCTTCCAGTGCTTCGAAGCGGTCGTCTTCCACGAAGCGGGGCTGAGCACAAGGTCCAGCTTACCGAGCTTAGGATGTAAGGCAGAGCTTGTTGGATCTGGGCTTCTACCAGTCTTCGGATTCTATCTGCTTACCAGGTTTCGGTCGGTTCTGACGCCGCCCGTTTTCCTAGTGACTCATACAGCCGCCACTGCTTCGAAGTCGTTTATGCCTGAATGCCTCACTACACTAGTCACTACACAACCCGTCACACGATTCAAACCACAACCATGTAATGCCTTGCATGCACGCCCCTATGGACGAACAGTCCTGACGGTCCCATCAGCAAACCTGCATGCCGCAAGCTGAGAAACTGGCATTCGGCTCCACTCGCCGCATGTCAGGTCGAACGGGCTGAAGCAAGTTGGAGATACAGATGGCACAGAAGCATTGAAGTCGAAGCTGAGCATGGTCCGACTGTCTGCCACATAACCCCTAGGCCCAGGCTACATCTGATTTCAGAGCTTTGCACGTCCACCCGGGTCCTCAACCGGAGGTCGAATCTCGGCTGGGACGGAGTCGAAGTACCTTCACAGGCGGAAGCAAACTAGCAAAACTCTGCTGCCAAAGTCTGACGCGTCTTACTTACTGAGTTAGACTGAAGACTCCGAGTCGTTCTGCGACGTCCGCTACCGCCACGAACAAGGAACCAGAAACCGATCCCCTCAGCTCCGAACCTCCGCAGGGGCGCTGGCCGGCGGCTATCCGAGCCGATAAGGCTCCAGTCCTGCAAGCATCTTCCGGCTTCGGGGTTAGAGAGACCATGCCGATGTGCAACAGTGCCCAGTTCCATGCTCGGGTCTGTCCAACATGAATGGTTTGGCACCGGGCCTCTTTCCACTTGGGTCTGCTTTTCTTCTTCTTCACTGGAGTCGGGGAGCCAGCCTCCACAAACCTCAACAAAAGCAACAAGGTTCGTGGAGGGTCTTGCTTCCTTACCCAGCGGTCCGAATTCCGCAGTTTCGGGGGTTGGAAGCTGACTTCCAGGAGATCGCTCCGTGCCTGTTAATCTGTGCCCTGCAGTTGCATTCTTTGAAGATCAGCGGTGGCTGCGGTAGCTTCATACTATCTGCAAATTTTGTAGCTATGCACTCGGGAAATTTGGGGGGCACTAACTAGCTCTGTCGATGCGAATTTGCAGTCGCTGCGACAGTTGTATGATATCTGCAAAGGCTTCCTCAAAAGATGGCCACTGGAGTTTAAAGAGTGCGGCATCTTCAGATCACGCCGGCCTGGGGTCTTCATTGGTTCTGCAAGTTCAGTTTTGTGGTTCTTCAAGTTCTCCCAACATGTCATTGTTGTCTGCTCGTGTTTGCCTCTTTGTGCTCTCTTAGGAGTGCATTCAAAAACCCTTTCAACGGCTTCGGGGTTCCCGCAAGGTCTTACTGTTACTGGCCGCCACTCATACCAGCCTGACTGTACACAGTGATCAGGAAGCTGGCGAGTCAGGTGAGTCTTGGGTGCAGGCACAAAGCAAGACGGCTCTTGTACAGAGACAAGCGAACTACTCCCAACATCAGCACAGAAATGGCATTGCCAGGTTCGGACGCACGCGCAGCCTGGCTAAATTATTGCCGAAGAGATGCCTCTCGCCATCGGAGTCCTGCATCTGTGTCCCGATGTCATTTCTTGTAAAATGCAAGTGCGTGTGAGAGACAGTACACCCCTCCTTATTGAAATAATGACCTTCACAGCACACCTTCGGCCCGGCCAGAAAGTCAAGTCTGGACTGCTTGCGCCGAATGCCACCCCGAATAGCTGTGTAAAGGGTTGTGCACTCTTCAGGACACAATCTGCCTGCAACAGATAACGATACTCAGACCGATACGACCAGCAACAGCCCAAACAAGGTCTCCTGCAACCACTGGCCCTCACAATTGTATCTAATGCGAGGATTCACTCCCAACCCTGGCTTCTCCTGCCATGCTCCCGGACCAAGGCCTCCACATGCTCTGAGGCTTTAGGTTCAGGCTTTAGAGCTTTAGGCTGAAGGGCTGTAAGGGCTTACGACATTTAGAGCTTCCATGAGGATCTGGTAACAGTAGCATCGTAACACAGATCGCGATCCTTGCCCCGGAAGCATCGGTTCGAAAGACGCACGGCATCCTGTTAAGTCGAACCAGGACGAAAAGGTGGCATTCTTCTTTTGCTCTGGCACTGATCCTTTTGTACTGGCGCCTATGCTACAGCGATGTGATTGGGCTCCTGAGTGTGCAGTTACAATACGAGAGATCGGAAGTGTGAAGAGTTCTTCAGGGTAATGCACGCGCCAGCTCAGAAGTTCAAGCAACCGTGAACATCAGTCGTCACACCGTAGCAGCGCATGTACCACTGAGGGGCGTGGTACAGTTCAGAGCGAATCTGCAGTCGTTCGCGCCTTCGCCAAGCGCCTGCCATGCCGCCGTCCGCGCCTGCTTGGAAGGGCATGTACAGTAGAGCAAGAGACCATAGATGAAACAATAACAACAATAATCTTATATATACATATATATATATATATTATTATATAAACTCACGGTTCTTCGCCCAAACGCACAGAGTCTCCCCGAGCAGCATCCGAGTTGGGCTCGGCGCCTCCGCTGCTTCCCAGGCCTGGGCCAGGGCCTCGGCGCACCAAAGCAGCCTCTGCCCTCTAAGGCCAAGATGGAAGCCATGGACCTCTTATAGGAAATTATAGGAAATTATAGGAAGTTATAGGAAATTATAGGAAGTTATAGGAAGCTATAGGAAATTATAAGGAAAAATATTTTTTCCCCCTCTAATATGTTTAGTACATGGACGATATTGGACGATGGATGCAAGGAGAATGAGAAGTGTCGCAAGGCGGCAGCGACAATGGCCGCGGCAGGCAGCAGCTCGGCGGCAGCGACTGAGGCTCAGTGATTCGGCACTCGGGCCATGCGCCCCAGGAGGCGCGCTGTCACCAATATGCACGATCAAGTTGTTAACTCTTCCAGCGCTGAGAGGAAGTAGACACGTGGACACTTCCTTTTTGCAGATCTGTACAATCCTGATGTATCCAGATTGCTTGGTGGGTAGAGAGTCTGCAAGTTTTTCATCAGCATGGATTTTGGAGTTCACCCTCCTTCCAAAATACTTCGCTTCAGAAATCAAGCTTATGAGGGTGCTGCGTAGCCGCGTAGCCGAAGCTGAGGCATGGGCATCCCAATCCTGCGGTCGGAGAAGCTGCTGCACTTCCTTCGCACAAGATAATAATAATAATAGTAATAATAATAATAATAATAATAATCGTAATAATAATGATAATAATAATGATAATAATGATAATGATAATAATGATAATGATAATAATAATAATAATAAGCTGCAGGCCCAGCCCTCTTCGACTTCCCGCACTCGGACTCCACTCTTTGATTCATCTTGCCGGAGCTGCCTCGGGTGGGTCGAAGGGGAGCCCTTCCGGCCGAGCAAGATCCAGGTCCGCGTCGAGGTCCCTGAAGGCAGCGGCACATGTGGGTCTACGCCTTCATCTTCACATGTTGAGACTGCTTGACATGTGGCCTCCGCCCTTCTTCAACAAACTCCCCCCCTCTCTCTCTTTAGCGTTCGAAACTCCCCGCACCGATGGCCCCGTGTGTTATGCGCTTTGTAGGAGAGTGGTGACCGCCGTTCCTAGCTCCCGAGACTGTTCGCTAAAGCAAACACACCTGCATCTCTCTCTCTCTCTCTCGCGATCTCGCTCTCTTTGCAATCTCTGCAGTTGGGGCACAAGTCTTCATTCTCCAGCATGGTCTCCTTCACGAGATCGTAAGATCCAGGACGATTTGTTGAAGACATGACATCTCTATCTTGGACTGGCAAAGGCAGGCAGGTGATGATCAGAAGCTACATAGTCACCCTGCGGCGACGGATCCTCTGCCACTTCCGCCATGCCCGGAGCTCAAAGTTCAGATGTCCAAGGGATTTGCCGATCACGAGGAACTGAGTATTCATGCTGCTGCCGATGAATCACAGTCTTGGTATTCAGACTGCGTAGTTAGAGTGTAGTGCTGCTTCAGGGTGCCCTGTGGACTTTGTTTGCCATGCCCATGGAACTATACGGCCGCTGCGAGTCGAGAACGCACGGAAGATGCTGCGAAAGACCGCCGGGCGACTTCCACCATCTTGAAAATAAACGAAACAAAACGTGAAGCTGCCGGAACTGTAGGCTGATCCTGAATCAAACTGTGAGCGACGCTTCATGGTCGCTTCGTCACCTCCATGCCAGACACCGTCGAGGTGGAATGCATGCCGCATGCCATCTTTAGCACCATGCCTTTTGTGGTCGGAGTTGCTATGTCAGACTGGTCTATCGGAAATCATTGCCGGGCACCGCTACAGCACGGGCAAACCGAGTGCAGGCAGCGTGGCATCGACAAGAATCGCAGACTTGGCGGTTCAGGTCGGCAAGCGGAGCACACGTTCTCGGAACTTCTTGCAGGAGCTACTTGGACCCAGGAATCAAACGACACTTCAACTGACAGGAACGCTGTGCCGCTTGCGACAAGGCTTAACAGAACACCTACAGTTGTTTCGCTGCAAGGTACCGTGCCAGCAACTGCGTGGAATGGGACCGCCGGTCAGATTATGCATCCGCCCTTCGCTTTGACAGCGCTACATGAACCTTGTGAATTCTGGGGAACACGGGCTGCTTAATCTTAGAGTCTTAGAGCCACTGGTCTATTCACAACAAGGATCGGGGAGTGAAGGAAGTGGAAGGGTTGATATCTTTCAGGGTTGCGGCTTCTCGACCAAACGAGGGGGGAAGCATTGGCTAAGGTGAGTGTGCAAAGACTGGCAATGAGGTTGAGTGTGCGGATGCTGGCACAACCTCCGTGTCGCGACAGCCGGGCTCTTGCAACTGACACGTCACTGGTACAAGGCTGGATGTGACAGTCATGCAGCCGATGCAAGTTGCTAGGACGGTTTTACTTGAGCTGATTGCGAATGGTGTGACTCCGCAGCTCTGTTCAGAGAACTACCGGAAGCCGCACCTTCCGCTGCGGCACACATCCCACTATGATTCAAATCCGCTCGCAACTCACAGCTATCGAAACCAGGCACCCCAGAATGTCCCGGCAGCCTCGCCGGGTCTATTTGGACAGTTAGTAAAATTTACTGGCGCTGGCACCATACCTGAGAACTGAAACAAAGGTACAACTTTCGTCTCAGCTGCACGACTTTGAAAAGGCACGAGTGTGCTCCTAAATCATTCCACCGAGCGTGCGACTGCTAATGCGGTGGAGAATGACTGGTGGACCAGCTCGGCCCGCTTCCAAAGCCCGGTCAGGGATGGTCCACCCGCTTTTCCAACGTAGAAAATACAGACAGTAGCAGAGCAGATCGATTCTATCTTCTGCCACCAGCAAGCGCAGCAGACGCGTCCTGAAGGCAAAAAGGACGGCACGGGCAGCTCTAAGGAGAGCATCAAAGCCAAAATACTTCTGGCAACAACCCGCCGTCAAGATGGCCCTGCGGTGAGAGCACCCACAAGCTGACAGCTCGCAAAATGACTCCAATCTGATTGACGAAAGTTTGGACACAGACATGCAATTCGAATAACTTTGTTCCTTGGAGCACAGGCAGACTCGTAAGGCCGTCATATAACAAGCTGCCACAGAACAGCTGCGTGGAGGTTCAGCGTGCATCCAACCGGTCATCGTTATGTTGCTCTGGACACAGGTGCTCACTGCTGAAACCAGTATTCTGCATTGCTGGCCATCCAAGCTAAATTGTTGCTCTGGTCAGGCGTCATATGGTGGAGGACTCGGTCCTCCGCCATGCCAGAGGCTGACCCACAGACAAGATGTTGCAGCCCGGCTATCCAATCTTCCACGACATGCCGCTACCTGCATGTCGCCATATCAATCTGTATCAAAAGTATTTCAAATTTTGAAGCTATTGCAGCTATTGTAAGGCACTGACAGGAAACACATGGCATGCTACTTCGATCATCTTTGGACTGCGGCCTCGATCAAAGCACCTGTGCGCCCGAGTACCAGCGCTCTACGGCAGAGGGGCACTCGGCACCTGAGGCTCTGAGACTCTGAGGACCTGTGGCAGGAGAGGCCACTTTCACAAGCTTGTGCACCGAGAAGTAGCAATCTCACTCCGGCCGCGAGAACAAGAGTTACAAGCACCAAGCACTTGGCTGCTTGTGCGGTCAGCAGCATAACGCAAATACTCCATCAAAACGACTGTGATTGGGATCATTCGCGCGCACATTATGCCCCGACTGTGCTGTTGCAAACAAGTTGCAATAATCACATCGTCAGCGGCACGCGAGGGTCCCAAAACAGCAAAACTGCCAGTGAGACTAAGACCATTTGGTCTTCACTCCTCACCTCGGCTGGGACTTCGCATGTTGGAGCCCTGATATCTACGTGCCACGGACAGAGACGCAGAGGGGGAAGCGCGGAGAGAGTCAAACACAGAGAAAGAGAGAGAGAGAGAGATGCGGGAAACCCCGCCAAGTACTCACCCTCAGCAGAACTTTGCACTGGCTGAAGCGGCCATCTAAGAAGCTGTCCCTGCCCTTGTCACTGAAAACGATCGTTTTCTGAGGTTCCGGAATTAGGCAGCTGGCTGTTCGGGATCAGCTCGAGTGGGGGCGGGCCCTCAGCTCTCAGGCAACTCAGGCAACTTGCTCGTTCGAGCTGCCAGAGGACACTCCATCACCATCGGCGAACTTTCGGTGCAGCACCAAAATCCTCTTACGAAACTTGCACACATCCAAAGGCTGCGGCAGCAAGAGCCCATCCGAGATCCGCACATCATCGTCGCTGTCCTCGCCATTCTCTTCCAGGACAAGATGATCAGCATGGACCTGCTCAAGCTGCGGTAATAGTTCCGCTGCTGCAGCGGAGACCGACTTCTGGAGATCAGGTTAACAGGCAACACGACAACGTTTCATGCACATGTTGACTTCACTGTTTGGAGGATCGCCACACGCGCAAGGCAAGCTGCTCACCTAGCCTTACCCTATTCACGGGGGGCCGTTTCGGAAACATCTTGTACCCTTTGAAATCTCCAAGATTACCCGACACAAGCCTGCAAAGGCTGGAAGCTGACAACGGCATGCACAAGCTCGCAATATGCGGTTGCCGGCAGATGCCGGGAGCAAGTTCGGAGTCCCCGGCCCGCCTGTGGGGCCACGTCGCTCTCCGAATCCCAGGCCAGGCCTTCGTCTTCCGATTCCTGGAGACAGGACGTGGCTTCGGCTGGAGGGCTTGGAGCTTTGGGAATCCGTAAATTTGTCTATCTCCCTACGAGTACCTGCAACTACCTGCATACCGGCATATGCATCTGTGTGTCTAAAGTCTTCATCTATGCCTACTCAGCTAACTCTCCGTGCACGGTATGTCTGTCGGTCATAGCATCGGACTTCATCACATCAGAATCGGAACACCCTATGATATAACCTGATTCCTGCCCACCCTGCGCCCATTGGACGATTCGCAAGAATCGAGGCACCAGCCTTCTGATGTCATCCCGATACACATCTCTGCACAGAGTCCCGAACATCCAAAAGACAAAAACAAACACAATTGAATCATGCTTCCGCTCCTCACGTCTCTTCATTATATTTAATTGGTTTGTTCTATCTTTTCGGTTTCCTTCTTATTTCCTTTACACTTAACTTTGCCACCTAACCTATACTATAATGAGTGAGTGAACAGCGAGATCGGAATCACGAACAAGAGAATGAAACAAATGAAAGATAATGAAGCGAATTAACTGAGCGGAAGCATGCTTTCATTTCTCTTTTTCGTGCCAAAGGACCAAATTATTAAAGTGAACACGCACTGCGCTCTCTTCATTTCTCCTTTTGCTGTCTAGCTCCATACATCTCCACAAGCCAACCCGAGGGTCAGGCCACCAGCGCCGCCTGTGCAGAGGCAGCCGCAGTAGTGGAGGTGCTGGAGGATGCCTTCCAAAGGGGCCATGCTGTTTATCCTCTCTAAATAGTCTTGACAGATGCACAGCGGCAATCAGAGGCAAAGAGGGCAAGAAGGAGCACGGCCTGAAGTGTGACGCCCTCTACACGCTTGCAGCGGTCGCGGGATGAAGTGTCGGGGCTGAGACAGAGAGAGGGGACGGAGTGAGACAGGAAGCCTTCCGCCGGAGCGATGTTGACGATGTTTCGGAACTACTCTCCATTCCAATCCAAAGAAAAAGAGTGTCGCAACTTGAATCTCTGTGCGACGCCTGTGCCACAGATTGCGACACAGAGTGAGTGCAAGCTTCAATGCCCTTTTCGTCTTCAAGCCTGTGCTTTATGCCAGTTTCTGGCTGCAAAGCTCTCCATTCGTCATCCTACATAGCAGATTGGTGCATCACCTCCAAAAGTACCCCACCGAAGCTTCGACTACCTGACTACCTCTACATGATACCAAACCCGACTAGCAATCCTGGGGATGACAGACCTCCTTGCAAGACAGAGCTTGGCGTGCCAGGTATCTTAAAAGATGCCGACAAGGCGGTCGCACAGTCTTAAAAGTGACTTCGTGCCCATGAAGCCAGCGCAGCTCAGGACACGATGCGGGGCCGGAACTTGCGCTTCGGCTTCGGAGGTGGCGGGGGAGTTCGCTTCCCGGCCTGCAGAGTCGGGAACTTGGGGTTCAGGCTGAAGGGCTGTGAGGGCTCTCGGGCTAAAGGCGCTGAAGACATACAAGGCTATGCATTTCACATCATTTCACAGATCTTTGCAGCGACTCTGCAAGCCACAGAGCAACGCTCAACCATAGTATCCCAAGGAGTAAGGGGGCGAACTCGCAGCCTGAGGATTCTTCAGAGCAGCTAGCAGAGCACAGATGCGTTGCTAGGACTTCGAGAAGAACACCGCTCTTTCCTCCGCATCCAACGTGTCTGTCATCTCCCTATGTACAGTCTCGAATCCCTTCGGCCAAACCAGGAAAGCGGTGTGGCACCAGCGATAGATAAGCTCGAGCCCTCCTCTTCATGCTCGGGCTTCAGAACCTTGAGCTCGGAACAGGGCTGGCCCTGTCCCTGAGCCTCAAAGCCCGGCTGCGGTCCGACATCTCCCAAGAGAAGCATCGCCGTGAAAGAGCCCGGAAAAATCTCAGGCAAGTTTGTGGATCCACGGGTGAGCTTCGCCCTCAATTGGTCCAACATGTACGTGGACATGGTGTAGGAAGGCTCGATCTCCAAAAGGCGGAACTGCTGCGTGGACTGCTGCAGCACGTCCAGTGCCCGGTCAGATAACATGGTGGAAGATCGAATCCGAAGTCTGCGAAGGGTGGGCAGGCCCTCCACCAAATGCATGACTGCTGCGTCCGTCCAGTATTCTGCCCGATCCAAAAGCATGACTTCGAGTTGGGGGCATGCCTCCACAATCGAGGCGATGCCCTCATCATCGAAAGCATTCCAGTTCAGCTCCAAGCTTCGCAAGTTCTCGTGGCCGGACCACACACTTGGCAGCCCACCCAAACGCTGATGCAAAAGACCTTGGGAGAAGGCGCGCATGCCAAATTCCTGGTCGACTAGAAATGAAAACTCTTGCAACTCTGGTCCCATCTTGCTCAGCAGTCGCACCAGAGCCTCATCCGGGTCTTCCAGTCGTCGCTTACATCCGGAAAAGCGTGCCGAGCGTACATGGAAGACTCGCGCGTCCATTGTGGCCAAACACGCGATCACATCGTCTGACAGAAAATCGAATTGCAGGCTCTGCAGCGATCCCAGTGCCATCAAGTTTGCCAGCAACGGCTGCTGGCCAGGAATCTCAACAAAAGGCGGAAGGAAGCCTTCCATGAATCGACTGCTGCCACGGCTGGATTCGTCGATGGAGATTGCAAGGCTCTGCACTAAGGGAACCGCTTCCACAATTTCTTGGATTCCGAGGACGGCGCCTGCATCCAGCTGTGCACCGTCCGGCCGGCGGCTGCACGGCGAGCTCACGAGGGACAGCTGGGTAACTTTGCCCTCTGCCGCAATGAGCGTCATGCAAAGTGCCTGCAGCAATGACGGTGTGAAGACCGCTGACAGTGTCACGTCGCGAAGCACGGGCGATTCCACGCAGCCCAGCAGCTCGCAAGCGAATGATGTGGACTCTGCATCACCAAGTCTCAGGTCGAGTCGGCGCAGACGTGGCAGCAGCAGGCCGGCAGGTAAAGCCACTCCCAAGTTCTCCCGCTGGAACACGAGGTCCAAGGTCAAAGCTTCCAGTCCACCACAGGCACGCAAGAGCAATGTACACAAGCTATCAATAGACTTCTCGGCGCAGTGCGTTCTGAAATGAAGCCGCGGCCAACACCTGGGGTCCAAGGACGCCGCGTGGAAAGGCTTGCACACCTTGGCACAGCAGTGCATCACTGCCAAAGGATCAGCGAAGCTGAGTGCGATTGCGATGCAGCTGACGGGCACACGCTGCCGGCCGAGGAGAGCTGGGCCCACACTCTCCGGGCCGTTCACGGGCCCGGGAGGTACCGCGATGGACAGAAACCTCCTGAGTGCGTTTGTGCGGGGCCATGGCTCAAGGGCAAGGAGCGAGCGCAAGTAGGCCTCGATCGCACGACCCTGGTCTCCCACCCATGCATTGTCCATGGTGAAGAACGGTGCCCTCGGGCAGGGTGGCACGCGATGGTAGCGCGCCGACATTGCTGCAGAGAGCAGATCGAGATCTTCGTAACTTCGCCGAACCACCTGTCCTGGAGCGCCAGTGATGGAAGGGGGCTGCACCATGAATTCAAACGCCACACCGGCTTCCACGAATACATGCCCAACATAGGCTACACCAAAGCCCTCGATGCCGTTGTCCCGTGCTGGCAGGGCTTGCGGAGAGTTCCCCATGGATGCGCAGCACTACCCTGCTCAATCCGAAGCGTTGCACACGACCTGTCGCTGCTTTGAGCATCTGGTCAACATGGCAGCGGCGACGATCCAAGCCTGACAAGAAAGCCAACTTGAGACGCTTGCCTTTAACCCTCAACTTAAACCCCAACTGATGCGAAAACAATGCCAGCCCAAACTCACGGGTGAGGACCTAAACCTCCACACCCACATCATTCATGGGTGTATCTGTCTCTGCCTCCTCGTCCTTGATAGCTCGCTGAGCCATCTGCCCTTGCGGCCATGAGATGACTCTCACAGTTTCCAACATCAAGCTACCGCATCAGTATGTGCCGTGCATGAGCCTGGGCTCTGCTGCGACCCTGGCAAAAGAGGGCGAATCCATCTCCTGCACGTCATACTACTGTGTGTCTTCCGATGCTTCTGCACTTGATGCATCCTGATCTCACATCATCGGTCTATACACATATTTAGCAGAGACACGGACGCTCTGACAACATGAGCCCACAAGAGAGAATCAAGCAGAGAGCATTGGCCTGAGTGTCGTATTTGTGTGGAGGCTATAAGTGGTTGCAGCAATAAGCACACATGACATAGAACAAAGATTAGAATACACGTGCTCTCTGAGCCACGACACCAGCGAAGGGTGATGAAGCCGTCATGTACACACAAAGGCGCACGTTTCTGTTCAGCTCTACGCATGCAGGCAGGCCAGAACAGGACAGGCCAGGTCAGGCCAGGCAGTCCATGTCTGTGTGTGTGTGTGTATGTGCACAAACATAGCTATAAACTTGCACGAGTGTGCCTGTCATGATATGCTACATAATGTACCTCTCATGGTGTCGATCTATCTGTCCACTTGTCTATCGGTCCGTCAAGGTTCTTGCAATGTCCTGGTAAGTTGCAAGGGCAGCTGTGGCTGAATCGCAGCGCTCCTTGTGTCAGATGCAACATGCAAAGGCCAAGCAAACTCCACATCATAATGCTGTCGTGTAACGCAACAGAGCTATGCTGGCGCATGCTAGATCTAGCCAAGCTGCAATGAACTCATCGCTTCTGGAGATGGAAGAGCTGGTCGAGGTGGAGGCCTCCAGGCCAAGGGCATCTCGTTGCAAAGAGGCATCCAGAGGCATCCGCTCCGCTGAACCCCTGGCCTCGCCGCGGCCAACCAGGGCCCGGCCTCCGGCCTGGGAGGCACCGTGGTCGGGACCTGCCTGGCAGGCTTGAAGTTGGGCTTGGGAAAGGGCGGAGGCAGCTGCTGGAGCAGCGCCGCTGCCGCCGCTTCCCGAGCTGCCTGCGCACACCGCGACTCTGCGATTGCAGAAACTGCGACTCCAAATTGGCCGCTCAAGTTCTCCACGCGCGCCTGAGGGCTCACCCCTTCGCCCGTCCCTTCTGCCCGACGCCCACCGCTGCGCTGGCTGCGCAAGATGAAAGTCGCATGCCAAGGCGATGCTGGCGGCGGCCTGTTCAAGCCATACTCGGCTGACTCGGCTGCCGATACAACACAGAGTTGGAGACTGTGCCCATTCTGTGCCGTGGGCAGGGCAGACCCTTGTGTAGTGACGTCCTACAGCCTTCCTGTTGTGTTTGCGGACAGGCCTGAAGATCACCTCTTCCCTGTACTCGTCCTCAGCGGCAGCATCCCACTTGAGTCGCAACAGCACGCGACTATGCACTCCTGAACATACCCGAACCCTCCGATTCGACTCCAAGGTTCGGGTGGATGCTGAACAAAAGCATCTTGCAATTCACGCAGCTGGACGAAAACCTCGTTCATTGATTGTGCCAAGATCGTCTGACACTCTCTACCAGCATCCCCCCCACAACATCACAGGGCCTCCTGGACTCTCCGAACTTCCGAACGCGTTCCATTCATTTCCACTCCCTCGGCCCTGCGACAAGCATCGGAGACAGAGCCAAGTTACAGGAGGCCCCCGTAAAGCCGCGGCACCTAGAGGCTTGGAGGGCAAGCTGGCGAGTTGTGTTCCTCGCAGAGCCTCTACATTGCATTAGATATGAGCTGGCAATCGGCTGCGGTGCCATTCCTTCTAAACGGAGCACTGAGAGCAGCCCCTCCTACGCATCGCAACATGTTGTGACGTCTTGGGGCTGTGGCTACCACCAGCATAAGCACGCTGAAGGCACTTAGGCTCGACACAAAAAACAGCAGTAGATTCATCAATGCGGCCCCTTTTCCCGGCGCCTGCTCGGATGCGCGGCGGGATGGTCCTCCCCTTCCGCAGGGCCCGGGGTACCAAGGACACGCGGCCAAGCGCCTGGCTGAGCTGGGCAAACTGCTTTGCTCTGCTTTGCAGTGCTGTGGACACGTGCAGCTAACTCGACCTTGTCCTTCAGCCGCCAGCGCGGCGGCTTCGCTTGCTCGAGCTCCTGAGGAAGTCTGGAGTTGAGAATTGGCCGCGCAGCCCGGCTCCCGAGTGCTTACAGGAGCAAAGAAGGGCTCCAGGGCTTCTCCTGCAGGATCGATTGGCAGGTTCCTGAATGTTTCTGACATACTCCCTGTCGCGAGGCCGTAAAACTTTGGAAAGCAATCTAGTCTGGAGTTTGGGAGGTAAGATCGGAGATTTGAACATCTGTGAAACAGGTGCTCTCTGTCCTCTCTTGCAAGTGGCGTCGGTAAGCACAGCTGTCCTTTCCTCATTCATGGCTTTTAATTTCCGTTTGTGCTTTGACAGGTCGTGTGCCACAGTCCCATCGGGCGAGGTTGTGGCCAGGGACCAGCCTTTCCGAACTGCCGGCGGTGCTTGGTCTTGCAATGTCGGCAGGTGACATCTTTACTCTGGTGGTGAAGCTTGCCTTTGCAATTTTGACGGGACTTCAGTCCAGCGTGTCGGCGGCTAGCGTCCCGATATGACCAGAATTTGTGGGTCCAAGACCCCAGGAGTAAAGTGACCGAATCGGGCATGCCTGCACATTCAAGGTTAAAGCCCGAACTCCAAACTCAAAGGTCCAGCCTGAAGCCCCAACCCAGTGCCTTCAGCATCAAATGCGAAATCTTCTGCTCCACGGATTTCTCGAAGGAGGCTCTCTCTGCGCGGGAGAGCTCACCTCCCCAGCCCACACATCAACTAAGGGTTATTGGAAACAGGAAAACATGCACCATACACGTCGGACCATTTCGCCGCCACCTCCGCGCTCGCTACATAGTGCTGGCAGCTCGGGATGCTGAACATCGCAAGGTTTTTCTCCCTCCTTTTTCACCCCGATACGAACTCAAATCCTCAAAAGCTCCAAAAGCCTTGAAACAAGCTCTTGCTGACCGAGGGTCCGTAGCACAGCTCCTGCCCGTCAACCGGCTCCACGGCAGCTAAGCATTCTAGCTGCCGAGGCGGCGACAGGGTCGGTAGCCTTAGGCAGAGCTAAAGACTGAGAGATGGTTGAGCTCACGGTTTTGGCGAAGGTATGCTGCAACCGCGCACTGTGCAAATCGTTCGATTTAGACAAGAGATGGCTGAACTCGAAAGCTTGACAAACTCGCAACAGAACTGGGGTACTGTAACCTGAGCTTTGCTGCCAAAAGACTCCATTGTGGCCTTCAGCGAATCCGCATCGAATCTAAACACTCCTTAGTCCGGTAGTCGCTACTATTCACTCCCAACTCTGAGAAGCACAAGTATTGTTGACCTAGAGGCCGCAAGTTCTGTAGAGGCCACAAATTCTGCAGTACAAGGTTCTATCTTCCGGCGTCGGTGGTCGCCCCAGGAGATGGGACATCACGTCGTCAAGCGCTACTCTGACAGCCTTGCAAGCGACAGGGTGAGCCGCCTTCGGCACCTAACGTCTCTCCTAACTGTAACTAAGAACGCTGTTCGGTAGTTCTGCGTGTTCACGATCGTCGACCACATGTGACGGTGGCGCTAGAATATCCTAGAGGGCATTCATCCCTCCCCAATTCTGGCAAAGAAGCCGCCAGCTCCTCGTCAGCGCTGGCCTGCTAGACAGTCGCACCGGAAGTTGCTGAAGCTTCTCTGCAAGCTTACGCAGGGCAGCTGCTTCACATTGCACAAGAAAATGCGATCAGCAACGGCACGACGGCTCAGCCCCCCGCATCGCGCTCACAAGTGCCAGCCGTGACTGTTCGCCGCTTGGCAGGCGGAAGCTCCTTGCTAAGTATGACATCGGCGAAAGACGGTGCACGTAGCAACAGACCAGCGCTGACAAGCAGGAGGCCATTCTGAGACAGCAAAGCTGCCGTGTGCGAGTCCGAGTTGCATCTTCGCATGTCCGCCGCTGGCGCTTGCGACGCGGAAGTTCTTCCCGTCCAAGGTTCCGCCGCCGCACAAGGACACGCATAGCGACAAGAACGAATTTGCCTAGGACTAGGACGGTAGCCCGAGAAGGTTTGAGGCTGCTGAAGAGTGGCGTCAAGCTCTGCAGGGCCGCTCATAACTTCATTCTGTTTAGGTGCATGTCCCTGGAAATCTTCCTTTGTTGCTTGCATCATGTCTGCTCCATGCAGCGCTCTCAGCTGGCTTCTGTGTGCGCATGTTCGCTGATTTCACCACACGGCTGCAACTTGTGAGCCACTCGGTCAACTAAGGCAGGATGGCCGGGCTTCTGTCAGAACCTCTTTGTCCGATACCAACGCAGCCAGATTTCGCATGGCACCCTTACTCTGCAGATCTCTGCAGCCTCACAGGCCCTCACGACAACGGCCCAGGCGGAGACAAGCTTTACTCCCGATAATTGACACGCCGGCAAGCATGTAGTCTTCTAGCCCCACGACTGGACAAACCCTGAGCACTGCCTTGGACTTGTGCTGTCCTCCCTGCAAGTCCTCCATGTAGTACTTTTTTATCTCCTGCACAAACAAAGTTGGTAGATGTGGTGAGTCACGACATTGGAAGAACTCCAGATTATATGTTTAGCTAGCAACTGCGGGCGATGAATCCGGAAGTGCTGTGTTCAGGTACATGTACAACTGCTATAAGCAACTGGCTATGGCTGGCGATTGCCTTATCACTGAAGTGGGCTACCACAACTGTGCTCGGAAGAGCTTTGGTCTGCACGCCTTGCATTGTAGTAATTACTGTAGCTGTCGAAAGGACACGCAGCCTTCTTTTGGCTGAAGATAGCTAGACAGGATCCTCGGCGCTCTGAAGCTCCACGTTCCGCGCGGCGTCGATCTCTTCCGCCATGCGCGCCGATTCCTTGCGCTGTGCGCACGACCCCAAAATTCAGGTCTTTTTCCGAGCACGACACGTAGACAGACCTGGATGGAGAAGAGTTGGGAAGTCAATGGAAGTGTGTAGCCCCTCGAACCTTTGTCTGGTTGTCACATGTTGTCCGAAGGGTTCGGCAGAACTGGCACAAGCCTCCAGCGCCCAACGCAGTTGTGCCTCTTCGTCAGCCTGCAGTGGGATAGGCTCGAGAGCTCAGTTGTTCGGACGTAGGCTGAGGGCACCAGAAGTCTCTGACAAGTGTATGAGCACATCACACGCTCAGAAGAGTCGTGACACGCAAACGCCAGATCTCTGCATACGTTGCCAAACAGCTCCGATCGAGTAAAAACCACTGAACCCGGAAAAAACGACTCTGACCGAAATGTGGCTGGATTCGTAGAGAAGGTGGGGCCTCAAACGTAGCCTGTGATGCGAGAAGCGCCTTGGAGAAATCTTGCTCCTGCCATGCACTTGAAAGTGGAGGCATCTTGGGGGCTGGCCGGTGCACTGCCCCTCCCTAGACCTGCTACTTCAAGATATAGACTCTGGTTGAAAATCTGTGACCACCCCCGAAGAAAGGATGCCCCGTATTATCTTCCGCTGGTTGCATCCCGCGCAATGGAAACTGAAAATCTTTCGGCCACCGATGATTTTGCAAGTTTTTCGACCAATATGGCGCGCCTCGGAGAACTGCTGATGCTCGGCCAGAGAATTCAGCCAATTCTTCATCACCGTCTGGCGCAGATCATCGGGAAAGAGCTTGCAGCAGGCGAAAGCTCAACGCTGTAGAGAGCACGCCTCATCGTGGCTGCCGTAGCCGGATGCACCTTCGAAGCAAAAAGCAAAAAGCCCAGCAACACCAAATCACTCCGGTTCATGGAGAGCTGACCTTGCATTCAGACAGTGCGTCTATGCCGGGCTTGCCACTTCACGCAAACTTCTTGCAGGGCCGCAGAACACAGAGAGTTCTAGAAGACCTCTTGACACAGCTGTTCGATGTACTATAATGTACGATAGCAATTCTACAGTATATTTGATACTATAAGCATGGTATAGTACAGTATAGTATATTATATACTATAAGAGTAGTATACTATACTTATTCTAGTCTGCCACCCATTTTGTAGCAGGCTGCTCCTGGGCCTTGCCTTGGCGCGGGCTCGAGGGAGGTGGATTTCGTCCGGTCCAGCCGCCAGAACTGGGCCTAGTCTTCCGTGGCGGCCCCAAGATGGATTTAGGGTTTAGGGCAGTTTAGGGTTTAGATAGTCCTCCTGGACTACGTCATGGAGCAAGAAGCTGTCCAAGCAGGCCCTATAGGTCAGCTCTCGAACGGCCGAGCTTGAGAATTGGACCATTGTCGGTCTGAAGTCGCATTGAAGGCCATTGGGTTGGCCTGCTGCAGGTGCGCAGGCAGCATTCACGGAGGAAGCAGCAATTGATCTTGGATCACTGTGAGAGCTCTCAGCAGAAAACTCTCCTCGTACCCGTTTGCGCATGTCGTGCTTGCATGCGCCTGTTGGCGGAAACCGCTTTGCAGGCTTTGCGCAAAGGGCCTCAAGCTCAAGACATCACAGGAGAGCAAGCAAACACTCGCACACCGTGATGCTTATTTCTTCCAACAAGCTTTGTAAATACGTGTCCGTGTTTTTGTGTATGTATATATATATATATAGAGCGAGAGAGAGAGAGAGAGAGAGAGAGAGAGGGAGAGAGATGTATACCCTCAAAGTTCTCAGAGCCACACGAGCCACGGCCACCGAAGTCGAAGTGCCGCATGTCCTCACACATACCACGGCTTCACAGAACGAGGTTTGCTAACAACGGATGCAAGACAAGATGATTCTTGCGGCTTTGCTCTTGTATTGGTATTTTTGAAGAGGAGGCCTGGTAGCCGCGTGCAGCGGGCAGCGGCCGATCCTGACGAGCATTCAGAAGCTCCGATTTCGGAAAGGGGGGTTCGAGGGGGGACTCACCCGTCGGAAGTTCGCAACATGGCAGGCAATTAAAGTCATAAGAGACGTTTTCCAAAGCCCACACTGCTCAATACGAAGTCCTGCCTGGGATCAACTAGGCAGAAACTGAAGCAAATGCCTGTAAACCGAGAGGTGCATGTGATTGCACGTGGCTGCAGATCGATGTCCCTGCCTGCGCAGAGGGCCTGGGTGCCGGAGTCGGCGCAGGGGCCTTGGGGCGCTGCACGGGGCGGCCACCTTTGTCGCCTCGGGAGGTCCGAAAGCCCAGCCTGCGTAGACTCCACGCTTCCGTAGCAGTTGAAGTGTGATAGTCGTAATCTTCGAAACGCTTTGAGCGGAAACGGTGATGCGTCCAGAGGTGAGATCTGGAATGCAGAGGTTGCACGAAGTTCCGCTGATTATCTTGGCAAGGCACTTTCGTGAACCGCAGAAAGCCCACGGCTGTGATGAAATGAGAGCCCGGCAGAAGAGCCCAAACATTTGGACTACTGAGCCGGGGCCCTTCACCTCTTGCGGACAGAGTGGCACCAGGTGTTGAACAAGTGGAATGCACCACACACAGCCTGGACGACAGATGGTGCCAGCGGCACCTCATCGCTGTCGTCAAGCACCTCCAAGCAAAAGCGCCGACGCGACAAAGGTTGCCACTTTACCAGCAGTGCAATTCGGCTGTGGAAGCATTATTTACCGTCGGGCATCGATCACGATTTGGCACAAGAGAAAGCAGGAGCCTTGCCATTGGATGCAAAGGATAGCTTCTTGTGGTATAGAACCTCTCCTGCAAGCATCGATTGTCTGTGCTGCATCTATGATGCACTCGACGTCCGGCCTTTTGCTCGCTCACCGATATGATCCTTCCAAGCTGTCAAAGCTCTCATGGTAAGAAAACTCTCTCTTTCTTTCTTTCTCTCTCCAGGCTCCAAGCTCTGCTCTCTCTCTCTCTCGCGCGCGCGCTGGTACCAGAAGGGCCTTCAGCGCCGAGGCCGTGATGCTCTCGGCTCCTTCGCAGCACCACAGCTGCGGAAGTGTCGTCCGAGCTCAATCTATGTTGTGGATTATCATGCTTCAATCGTGCGACTTTCAGGTCCAAACCTTTCCCTGCCAACCCACTCCTTTCGGAGGATGAAAGCAAAGAAGATGCTATGCAGACCATGCCTATATGCCCGTGGTCCCATTCCTGTTGCCAGTGTCCTTGTGGCAATTCCCACCGGTACGACTTCTGGAGGATCTGGGCATCAGGAACCAAACATCGCGAGCTGTCAGGGTTGGCCTGATCTTACGCACCCGGGTCACTCTTTCGCAGGGGTGAAAGCTAGCTCTCATTCTCTACATCTGCAGATTGAACATGCATTGCTACACCGGACGTGGACACCAATTATGAATCTCGGCACGAACACTTTCCGCTGCAAGCATCAACTGCATGTCCGAATCAGAAGGTGGCCTCCAACGTTAGAGCGGCCATGGAGACTATCGACTTTTCTTCACAACAGGCTAAGGCAGTGCAGTTGTGCAAAGGCTTTCAAAGCTGTGGCCTGCTTAGTTTAAGACGTAAGCAGGCTGCGTGCTGAAGTCGTCATGATCATCCTATACGACACTCACCGGTGACGATCCGTGCACCGTGAGACCATGAGGGCAAACTGTGCCATTGCTACCGATCCAATATTCCGCGTCCTGCGATGCTAGGTCTGAGCCGCTCAAAGCTGCAATGGCTCTCAAGTGGCATCACAACCAGACCTCACGTCTAAGAGCAACCCAGTTCTTGCGGATTCTTGCGGTTCTGACGATTGCGGGCTCCTACTAGCATGAGACTGCAACGGACACGTTTGTGCTTGCACTTCTTTTTGGACAGGCAAAGCTCCCGGAGCAACGCTGAGGAATAGCTGAACATCAAATCTGCTGTAAAGGCATTGCCAATGCCCTTCAGCCATCAACCCACGGGTTCCCAAAAGATGCGATCCAACCCGAAAGTGCTCACGCAGGTCGCGACCGCGCCGCGACAAGGCCTCGCCCCAACGATCCGGCAGAAGGTATGTAAAAATTCTGCCTCTGGGTTGCTGAATTTACACGCTTGCCCGTAGAGTCAGTCTTCGCTGTCTTTTCCGCTTGCCTTCATGGATTTGCGTCGTTTGGACCCAGAAGCCTTGCATCACCGAGCCCCGTGTGCACAAGGGCTGCACAACGAAGCCCGGGTGCAGAGCTAGCAGATCACCAAAACTGGTGCGCAGCCGCTTTTGGCGCAATACGCTGTGGCAGAGTTGGCGACAAAGCTGCGAGGACCAACAAAAGCTGTATAGAGCCAGCCTGCCTCCCGATCATCCCTCTTCACCCACCGCCTACTTGCAATAGCTCGTGTCTAAGCATACTTTGAGTGGCTTCTCGCAGCTCGGCACAAGCCCAAATCTGACTCTAAACAGTGCACGTCAGAAGTTGCGAACTTTGACCATCATCTCGCCCGATGTGTTCAAAGTGCGCTCCTCCACAAAGAGCTTGCCTTTTTCCAGCAATTGGTCGACGGCATAGGCCAAGTCGTGATGAATGACAAGGCAATTCGGGCTCCGGATTTCCACTAACCTCTTGAACACGGGCTTGCCACCCCGCTCGGTGATGTTCTTCCTTCCCTCTGACTGGTATCGCTCGTTGTTATCGCCAAGGGTTGCCGATCTGAGGCCGCCGATGAGATCTCTGAGCTCGGAATTGGCGATGAGATCATGCAGGGTCCTCCCATGCGCAGTTGCAACAAGTTGCACCCCACGCTCCCCGATGGTGCGGGCCGCCTTGGCTTCCCCTAACGTGCCGATCTCATCCACGACGATGACTTGGGGTCCCATGTTTTCGAGGGCGCGGCCCATGGACAGGCGCCGCGCCTCGCTGCGATCGACCTTCTCTGCGGAATGCGCGGCATCTTTCCAAGCTTCTCCCACAGCTGGATGGCAGGTGTCCCCAGCGCCGGCGATCTCGCCGCTGGGGTCCACAATCACCACCACCTGGTCGCTCGACAAGTCTCCTGCGCACGCACGCAGCAGGGTCGTCTTGCCAACCCCTGGCGGGCCCAAGAGCAAGAATGAGCTTCCGTCTTGGATGATGTCCTCGATCACGGAAGCAAGCATCCGCGAGGACCTCCCCACTCTCATAGTAACGGTGACCGGATACCCGTTCTCGTTTCGAGTTACAGAGATCCTGTGGAGAGTGCGATCGATGCCTGCCCGATTTTGCTGGTTGAAGCGGTCCTCGCCGATTCGGTCACAGACGATCTCGTCAATATGCTGACGGGAGATCAGGCTGTCGGCAATCGCAGCTTTCCGTAAGCCTCCTTGGAGGAGCGCACGCCAGCGAACCTCGATGTTGCGTCCAACTCCCAGGACGATCTCCACAACGTTATTGCTCCCATCCAAGCCATTGATGAACTCGCGCACCTTCTTCAGCTGACCTTCAGGCAGCAAAGTGATGAGTTTCTCGAACTCTTTGTCGTTGCCGCTGCTTTCTTCAGAGACAGTGTTCTCGTCAGCCTCGTTGTGGTCTGCACTGCCTTTGATTCTTTGGTATACAGACCAGGTCAAATCAGGAATCTATGTCGTCTGCCAAACTTCTGTTGGGCAAAGCATTGCATTCGCTGGGTGACGGACCGATAATGCATAGTTTCCCGTCGACGAAGCAGAACTCGAGCTCGCAGCCTGACAGCATGGCATGAGGCATGTCATGGCTAGGTTATGATGAAATGAACTCCGCACTCCGACAAGAATAACTCGGGTTGCGCGGCCTGGGGGATAGGCGCCCAAGTGCTGTCCCGGCCAGGACCGAAACTCCTGCCAAGACTTGGCACTCCACGGCAACTGCATTCGAAGAAGCGAGCACTGGCTGCGTTGCGAGTGGCAGGGCCAGACTGTCAGCTATTCTTCTACATCTTGCTTGAGTGGCTGTCAGCACAGAAGCTCCTTCAGACGTGCTTGGCAAGCATCTCGAAATTGACTGGCTTGGTTCTCGAGGGATCCAGACATCTCCTCTGAAATTTTGACGAGCGCTTCTGCAACCTCTGCGAGAAGCTCCGGTGTCAAGGCAGACTCAGATTCGGACGACGAGCCAGCCTCAGGCACCAGAATGTCATAGGCCCTCGGGGTTTTGGGTTTTTGCAGCTCTGCTCGTTCTCGGAGCGCATATTCTAGCTCGCGATCATATGTGCGTGCCATCTTGTCAAGGTGCACGGGTCGCTGCTCCTTTGCTTGAAGACGCTCCCACGCCTCTACGGTATCGAAGCAAGCCTCCAATTGCACCTCGTACTCAAAGAGCAGATCAGAGAGCGGACGGCAATCGTGACAAACCTTCACAATGTTCCGGCTCTGCAGGACCTCTTTGAGTGGGCGTAGCAGCTCGCTGAAGAGGGCCTCCGTCGGACACGTCTCCGACAGCGATTCGACGTCCACAACGAGAGGCTCCACATCCGAATCTGCACAGATGGCGATGTAGTGGAAGTGACCATTTCGCAGTAGCTGACCGGAGACTGCAACTCCAACGACACTACCCTGAAGGGATTTGGCCCAGTCGCCTGTCAGCCATTGTTCCACATCCTCCTGCGCTGCTATCACGACGGGCCCATCCTCCTCCTCCTCATCCTCCTCCTCCTCCAGAAGAGCATCCTTAATGCCAGCCAAGATGAAGCCATCTTGAACAGCTCGATCGGGCTTCTCGTGATCTGTATCCCCTGCCGGTGCATTTACAGTCGTGGCTTTCTGCGCATTAAGCCGCTCCCTGTATTTGTTAATTTTTTCCTTCTTGCCCCGACCCAAGTGAAAGACCTCTAAGTCTGTGAGCTTCCCCAGCTCTGTCAGCTTCTGCCTCACCTCTGGATCTTTACTGACAACGGACAGCCACGAAGATCTGGAACATGGCAGAATCCTATCAGCTCTTGCAATCGCTGCAAGGCGATCAGGTTGATTCTGGCGACCGATTATCGGCGAGCCAAGCACAAAGAGGGCCCCATCACTGAGAGTTGACAGCTGATCCCGCAAGTCGTTGTGAATGCACTTCTCAATGTACTTGATTCGAGATGTCTTGAATCGACCTAGAGCAACAGTGGCCGGGCGGCTGTCTTGTTGCTTTTGCTCACTGTGCGAATAATCAATCATCTGCTTGGCAGCCTGATCCTCCCGGCCCAGTTCCAAGAGCTCTTGATCGGAGAAGGAGCTCACCAACTTCCGGAGTTCATCGCATATATTGTTCTGAACAAACCGCTCACGACGCATGGAGAAGCAACGGGTCCCCGAGGCTTCCGAACCCTTGAGCCTGTCTATCAGCGTGGCCTGGTCTGCAAAGGGGTGATTCCCAACTATATTCAGCTCCAGGTCGGACAAGTGGTACATCTCTGAATGTAGCGAACGGTGCACATGGTTCTGAATGAACTCGGCGCGAGTCTGCAATTCAGGCACCCCACACAAGTTCAGATTTTCGTCGTCGGGGTGTTCGGTGCTGCATAATGCTGTTACAATCGGACGGTGTCGGTCCTGGGGACGATCTCCAGCCAGTCTGAGTCTCTTGGTCATGCATAATCCGGCAAGGACACCGCAGGCATGAACACTGACAGATCCTGCAGGACACACAGATCTCTTGCCGAATCAGCAAACACCGATAGCAGGACAGGAACCATAATATTAAAAAAAACATCGCGAGGGCAGCTTCAACCCTGCAGTATCGGCTGGGCATGCGAGTCCTTCATGGCCTTGACTGTGTCCCGACGCATGTCCAAATCGTGAAGGTGGCATTGGCCTGGTGCCCGGTGGTGCTATCCGTGGAAGAGAAATCGAAGCCATGTGTGGATGCTGGAAGGCGCTTGAAGCCTCGGCACTACGATTCCCTGAACCGAAATGACTGCTGAGAGCTGGAAGTTTTAAAAAAACGACAGTACGCACACAGAAAATACAAACGATGCCGTGCCTTGCGCTGTCATCGCTGGACTGTACATGAGCATCATCGGAAGCTGGCTTCCAATGTTAGAGCAGCCACGGGAATTATCGACTTGCCTTCACAACAGGCTAGGTCCAGCTGCTCACAGCTATTCACATTGACATGCTGTTGTGGCAACATCGCGACGGTACCAAGCATCCCACGATGCTGGGTCTGAGCCACTCAAATCAAAGCGGCATCGGCTTTCGTGTGATATTGCCACAGGACCATGCTTTCAAGACTGTAAGCTAAACTGTTGTTTTCCTTCTGCAGCTTGCAGAATCCTACACGAGTCCCCCAAGATGTGCGGCGGACATGATTATTTGTTCTGCTTCGTGTGCGCTGTTTTTGCGCACGTAAAGCTCCCAGAGCAAAGCTGAGGAATGCACGAATGCTTTGGACGACACATCTTCTGTCAAGGCACTGGGAGGGCTGCAAGCTCTTTCCTCAGCCTGTCTGCGCCTTCGGAAATTCGGAAATTCAGGATGGGCGCGCCATTCTCAGACTTGCGCCGGTCCATCGATTCCTACTGCCATGTAACTGCGACTGGCGTAAAGGTGTGTGATCCGTTGTTTACATGCCGGTTGGGCGCAAGTCCGCGGATGCCACGACCCTGGGCCGCCGCTTTCTGAGGGCTTTCCCAGCCTTAACCCGTTGTGGAGATGAAAAGCCCGTGCTGATTGCGCGAAGCCCATCGGGAAGCGGCGAAGCAACGGTGCTATGTAAACTAGTGCAGGCCCACGGCCTGGAGCTTTCGTCCGCAGCCGGGACAATTTCAGCCAAGGCACTGCGGCATTAACATCACCATCAAGGCTTCAAGAGGCGCTCGCTCAGGCGCTCTACACGGCGGCCACCTCCGTGCCTGGCCAAGTGAGAACGTGTCCGGTGTGCGCAGGGCTCCTGAGGCTAGATTTCTCGAACCTCTTTTCACTTCCCACAGCGAAAGTCCCACAACGCCTTCTCACTGATAAATGCGCTGCAAAGCGCTGAAGCCGCGCCGGCAAATTGGACACGTTCTCACCTTCAGCTTGCTGAAACCCTCGCCACACCTTCGCAGAAACCCTGAGACCTGCATACTGAAGCTGTTCGCAAAACTCTGAGGATCTGTAGGAACCGGGCCGCTCGGTGAGCCCCTGCCACAGCGGACTCCGCACGATAAGCCTGCATCAGCTTGACCCAGTGCAGCGTCGCAGTACGGGGATGCCACGGGAGCAACTTGCCCTTATCCCTGCAAGATCATGCAAGACGCCCTTCGAAGCCCTCGTTGCTTCTGTCTTCGGCACCCTTGCAGGCCTCGGCACAGTCGGCGCAAACCGCGAGGTGGCCGTCCCCGGTGTCCGCGTGCATGAAGGCACTGGCAGACAAGCACATGGCAAGGAGCTCTGTAAGAGCGAGCACACACACACGAGATTGAAACTTCTTCAACTGTGCACCGCCGACGGATGAGCTCCATCCATGAACCAACTCCCCACGCGAATTTTGCACTTGCATCCAGCATGTCTACACCTGAGCAAACCTTATCTCATAAACGAATACAAGCGGGAGTATTCTACCCGTAGAAGCGAGCATAAAGCTGTTGCAGTTCCTTCCAGGAAAAAGCGAGCAGGGTGCGGCTGGGTCCGCTTGCGCTCCAAGCAGACTACACAAAGCTCCTCGGCCGGCGCCTTGGGTCGTTTCGAGTCGCAGTTTTGGGTCAGGTGTGAGAGGATCTATAGGTACATGTTCATGATGTCCAGACCTTTGGCATGTTGTCGGCCAGCTCAGGGCGTGGCCGATGGTGCTGCCTGGTCTTCGCCCTCACTGTCCAGGACTACGCGCCGGGCCTGTGCCAGGACAGGTCTAGGATGAGGGTTGCATCGAAAAGGGGGATCGAATGACTGTCAGCAGAGTCGCGGTTCTGGGTGGCTCCGTCTGCTAGATTCTCGATTGTTGCACTGCGTGGCTACTTTGCGGAGGAGGGGAGGCAAGGGCTTCAACTTCAACCTTGCCATGTGTGTTCACATGGGTTGAAAGGCATCGCCTTCGCGGTCCACCCGCCTGGACCCAATTTCCGCACCTGCCGAGAGGCAACTTCACGTCACTTCGAAAAGATCAGGTCAGGCTACTCTTTGCGACATCACTTCTCAACAGATAAGTCGTGCGTAGGCGTACCAGGCTCTGTGTCTGCCGCTCGTCCCCGAATGTCAACTCGTAGCTGCCCTCGGGCATGCCACCTGTACTCGCAAACACTCGGTCTCTGCGCAAACTGCTGAGATTGCATCTGCTAGAGCTTCGGTTGAACCCGTTCTACTTTAACTTTACTGGGGTCATGTCACGTCGCCCACAACATGGCTTATGAGGCTTGTGGAGCTCAACATTAAGATGAAGAGGTTTGGAGCTCAAAGGTAAGTAAGCAAGTCGACGGAAACTGCTGGATGCCTTCAAGGGCATGCGGAAGTTGCAGAGCTACCTGCAAAAGCGTTGGAGCGCATCAGGATCAGCTCTGCGACCGTCGGCACAGTTGCCCGTCGACACATTCGTGCAACTAGCTGCTGCAAAGCACATGCAAGGCGAAGTATTACAACTACATCACACCTGCAGCCAGGTGCAAATGTCAATCCATTCTTCTTCTCTGGCTGGCATTACGTGCATCGATTTCGTGTCTAACAAGCGTGACAAAACACCGATGGAGCATAGCAGACACCTGGCACGGGTGCCATGTGCTCTATGGAAATACTGTGCTGTGGCCCATGGCTCCTTGAAGTTTTCGGAAAGCAACGAACCACAGAGAGGAATGGCATCTGAATCTTACGGATCTGCAAGGTGCAACTGCGTCCAGACTCGCGCGGTGAACAGGAATCACAACCCGAATTCCAGCCTTTGGGTGACCCTCGAGCCAAGCAGCTTCAATGCTCTCAATGAGCTCCTGCATGCAGATCAGGCTACCGTGGTATTGCACAAGAGCACCTGGTAGATGCAAAACACCCGCCCCCCTCCTCCAAACTCATGCCTACCTACAGGACATCCACAACACCTCCAGTCTCCTGTGGCAAGCTCGTCCACCTGGGCGCTTGTCGTGCTGCGGTAGCAGGCCTGGCAGCTCAGCCCAGGCCCACCGTGGGCGAAGACCAGTGTCTCACCGGCCTGGACCAGATCTCCCAGGTCGGCCGCAGTCGCTCGCCCTCTTCGGACATCTGGGCAAAGAGCCGCAAAGGAAGCTAAAGCGAATAAGCGAAGCTCCCAACAAAACGACATCCCGGGACCCCTGCCAAGACCACGAGTGGCTCCTGTCGGGTTGCTTTCAACTCAGACACCGCTCGCGACGTACATGAGTTTCAAACCGGGATCACACGAGGTCAGCGAGGCTCCCAGCTGCTGAAGCCAAACATGGCAGGGAAGCACTCATCACCTGACCACCTGACACATGGGCCTGGCAGGCAGCACAAGAGACACAGAGTAAGTCGGATCTACTGCCTGCAGAGCAGATCGCCGAACAGCTACACACAGCCGGCAAAATAGACTCTGACAAGGAGGCCACCAAAGCCGAAACATGAAAGCATTGCCGCCACGGTGGGATCCATGTTGACAGCCTCAGTATGCCATAACTGCTCGAAAATCTCTGTGGTACACTGATGCCCCTACACAGTGGAACGCAGCGTGGTCGAGTCAGCCAAGAAGCGAGTCGCAGCGACATCGGGACATGAGGCGGCAGAGCCACCTGGCCCCAATTCCAAAGTCGTCTCTTTCATTTCAGTTCCATTGCCAGATTAATTGAGCTGCAATCTTCCACCCCAGCTCTGGCCTGCAACCGGCTGGTCGTCACCTCGCACGAGTGCCCGCTCATGTCAAGCAGGAACAGCGCAAGTCTCAAGGGTAAGACAGGCCATCTTCGCGCAGCATGGCCGAAGCTACCAAATCGAAACTCAGGCAGTCCGGACGTGCTGCCTGCGCTGCGAGAACTGCCCGGAAGACCTGTCCGGAACCTGTCTCGCCCATGAACTGCGGCAGCATTTCAGGCATTGTCTAATGGGGATTGCAGAGTTTTCCGACTGCTTGCTTGCGCTTTGCAACGCCATCACGGACTGATCAGAAACTGTCGCTGGTTTCCACTCACGGCCTGGACGCCGGAAGAAGCAGAGGACGTCTATGGAGGACGGAAGAGTCCTGCGGCTTGTTCGGATCAGAAGAAGTCAATGGAAAACTGGCAAAGTGGCCGTGTGCCCTCACATTCTTCTACTCTTAAGAACTGACATCGATTTCGTAAGCCATCATGTACGCTTCTGAGGAGCGCACCCAGAAGAGAGCCGCTGGACTCCACGAGCCTGGATTGAACACAGAAGTTCGGAGATCTGCACGCTGCATTGAGACAGATACCAGACAAAGCAAGATGGGTCTCACCACAGCAAGCCGTGATCTGCCGATTAACTGTGCTTATTCTGACCTGTTACTCTTCTGCTGCAGGCACCAGAACGGCTGAGAGAAGAGCCTCACAACATCTCACAACTGAGATGACATCAAACCATCCCCGTCCACTGGACAAAACCGGCCTGGGCTGGTGTGTCACGATCTCTCCAGAGAAGCAGCGTCTGAAGCCATGTGCCTCATGGGCTTCGGCAATTGAAGTACTGTCGCTGGTCTCCTTCGCTGGCTTGCCACTTTGCGGGCTTGTCGCCGCTTTGAGTGTGTTGAGTCCGTGCCCCTGTCTTGCGGAGTCGGTGAGACAGAGAAAAGTCGCAGCCTCCCTAAACGCACCCGTGATGAGGAGCACGCTCGCGTCCAGGTCCGCAAAGCGCTGGGCCGAGGAGGCTGCAGGGCCCAAAACCAGCAGCGACTCCTCACTCCTGGCACTGCGTTCGGAGGGTACTGTATGAAAGGTGGCATGTCCTGGGGTGCACAGCGGTGCAGTCTTTTCTCTTGCCTTTAGCCTCCATGCGACATGTTCGACTTCGCTGGGAACCAGAAAGAAGCATTCACCGAGCCCTCACGTGCACGTGGCGGCAGCTGCAAAGGTTCGGGAGAAGAGCAAATCGGTCCACCACAACTGCGGCGCGGATGATCGCGTGGAAGAGTGTGTGACAGAGCTGCAAGAACCACGAAGCACTGGGTTGAGCTGGTCTGCCGCCTGATCATCCCCGTTGCACCCAGTATCTGCTTGCAGCAGCTGCTGTTTAAGCATCTGCTTATGTGAACCAGACTTCCAGTCCGTTCGTGCAGCTCAAGGCATAAGCCGCTGCAAGCCTCTATCGGCCAAAGCGTCTGCAGGAAGCGTCTACCCGACACTCAACATGTGGCAATTGAGCTGACCCACGAATGCTGCCACATGGGCTGGTGGTGTCTAGCGGTCAATTTGAAACCTAAACATAAACAAATGCTGCATGCCCGACGAGCATCAGAATTTGCGAACTTTGACCATCATCTCGCCCGATGTGTTCAAAGTGCGCTCCTCCACAGAGAGCTTGCCTTTTTCTAGCAATTGGTCGACGGCATAGGCCAAGTCGTGATGAATCACAAGGCAATTCGGGCTACGGATTTCCACTAACCTCTTGAACACGGGCTGGCCACCTCGCTCGGTGATGTTCTTCCTTCCTTCTGACTGGTATCGCTCGTTGTTATCGCCAAGGGTTGCCGATCTGAGGCCGCCGATGAGATCTCTGAGCTCGGAATTGGCGATGAGATCATGCAAGGTCCTCCCATGCGCAGTTGCAACAAGTTGCACCCCACGCTCCCCGATGGTGCGGGCCGCCTTGGCTTCCCCCAACGTGCCGATCTCATCCACGACGATGACTTGGGGCCCCATGTTTTCGAGGGCGCGGCCCATGGCCAGGCGACGCGCCTCGCTGCGATCGACCTTCTCTGCGCAATATGCGGCATCTTTCCAAGCTTCTCCCACAGCTGGATGGCAGGTGTCCCCGGCGCCGGCGATCTCGCCACTGGGGTCCACAATCACCACCACCTGGTCGCTCGACAAGTCTCCTGCGCACGCACGCAGCAGGGTCGTCTTGCCAACCCCCGGCGGGCCCAAGAGCAAGAATGAGCTTCTGTCTTGGATGATGTCCTCGATCACGGAAGCAAGCATCCGCGAGGACCTCCCCACTCTCATATTCACGGCGACCGGATTCCCGCTCTCGTTGCGAGTCACAGAGATTCTGTGGAGAGTGCCATCGATGCCTGCTCGATCCTGCCGATTAAAGCGGTCCTCGCCGATTCGGTCACAGACGATCTCGTAAATATGCTCGCTGGAGATCAGGGTGTCGGCAATCGCAGCTTTCCGTAAGCCTCCTTCGAGGAGAGCACGCCAGCGAATCTCGATGTTGCGTCCAACTCCGAGGACGATCTCCACAACGGTACTGCTCCCCTCCAATCCCTTGATGAATTCGCGCACCTTCTTCAGCTGACCTTCAGGCAGCAAAGTGATGAGTTTCTCGAACTCTTCGTCGTTGTGGTCTTGAATATCTGGCTCCGCCTCATCAGCATCTTCCTCGGCTGCAGGCTTCGAAGTAGCGGCTTTTGTCAGTCGTCCCAGCGCGGACAAGTACTTACCAACTTGCTTCGCCGTTCGACCCATGGCCGAGACCTGGTGGTCCGTGAGCTTCCCCAGCTCTGTCAGCTTCTGCCTCACCTCTGGATCTTTGCTGACGACGGACAGCCAGGAAGATCGAGAAACTGGCAAGAGCTTGTCAGCTTTGGCAATCGCTTTAAGAACAGGTTTATTCGGGAGACCGATCATCGAGGAGCCAAGCACAAACAAGGCCCCGTCACTGAGATCTGACAACTGGTCCCGCAGGTTGCTGGGAATGCACTTCTCAATGTACTTGGTGCGAGATGTGTTCAACAGTGCCACGCACGCATCCGTACTGGTCATAGTGTGTAGTCTCCGGAGCTTCTGGTCGGACACATCGCTCAGCCTCTTCCGAAGCTTCTTGGATTTGATCTGCTTGTCAATGAACTGCTTTCGCGGCATGGAGAAACAGCGCGTCCCAAAAGCTTCCGCACCCTTGATGCGGTTGATGAGCGTGGATTGCTCTTCGAGGGAGTCGTTTTTCTGCCCAAGGATGATCAGCTCCAGGTCGGACAAGTGGTAGATAGATGAGTGTAGCGACGGATGCACGTGCTTCTGAATGTACTCCACGCGAGTTGCCAGCCCAGGGATCTTACACAACCGTTTAGGGTTGGATGCTGCTTGCAGGGTTGTACTGCATCGGTCTTGGCGGCGATCTCCAGCCGGTCTGAGCCTCTCGACCGCACAAAGAGCGGCAGAGACACCGAAGGCAAGGACTTTCGCAGATCCTGCAGGTCTGGCACATGTCTTTACGGAGCATCACGGATCAGCACACGCTAAGAACAGAAGGCATGCAGAGTGCAAAGACAGAATCAGTCCAAGTTTCTATCCATTTTGGCATGTCCTGTGTGGCTTTGCCCCTGTCCCCTGGTATGTCCCAACCGCAAAGGAGGCATTGGCATGGTGCCCGATATTGCCACCCGTGAAAGAGGCGTCGAAGCCATGATGTGGACGCTGAGGTGCTTGCATGGGGGGAAAAACCAACGCAGTACCGATGGCTTGAAGTCAGATCTGCGGATGCTGCTTCAAGAAGAAGCTCTCACCTTCCCAACATTTCCCAATGCAGCCCCCAAAACAAGTTGAGTAAAAGCTTTACACCGGAACCCATGTGATGTAAGAGTCGCCTGCAAGAGCTGTACGGCAACACCCAAGAATTTATGCCGAGAGGTGCCAGCTCGGCACCGGCGGAATGAGCTCTGCAATGGAGGGCGGAAAGACCTGCAAAACAGAAAATATTCAAGCCAAGCTCGAAAGGGCGGTAGGTGGGCCCAAATGCGGTGATGCAGATCCGACTAGCATCGTGACGAAAGAGCGGGAGGCTGTCAGTGTTCAACGAAACAAACGTCTGCTTTTCGCAGGATCGACACGGTGCCTCTGGGCGTACCTCCAGTGTCAGTACCTCGCTACTGCTTGTGAAAAGCAGGGCGCATGTATTCAGTTGCAATCGGAATGGAGGGGCACGCATGTGCATTCTCTCGATGCATATATGCATTCTCTTGAACCTGCCTAGCCAAATGGTCTCTAGAGGTTTTCGGTTACCGGTAGCTTGTTTCAGGAGCTGGCCGCAGCTGCGCTTCTCTGCCCTGCGATGTTTTCTGCAGTCACCTGCCGCATCCACGAGCGCAGGAAGGCCGCATCAAGCATGAGCAGAGGTTATCTCAGAGCTGCAAAGATGTCCGTCCGACTGGGTGGTATACAGCTGGCCTCGACGAGGTAGTAGCCTGGAGCTGCAAGGGCTTTGGCCCAGCAAATCCTGCACGATGCTTGCATGGCTTCGCTATGCTTCGCTGCAAGCCGCAAGATCTCCCAATTTCAAGGAGCTCTTCGGCCTCTGCCCTGCCCGCATGTTCTGTGCAGCGATGCGCTCGCAGAGAAGGCGCCTCTCCAGCTGCATGGAATGTGGCGATCAGGCTGAGCAAGAGCCCTTGCACGTGCAAGGCGCTACCAGTAGTGAAAGCACGGCCTGTCAGACGCTGGGCGGACCTCCGTCTGCAACGCTCTTACAAGATGCAATCCTATCACTAAAACCACGAAAGATGCGGCAGGAAGCTCAGAACCCCGCATGCTGGAGCTCTGCAGGTACAAGCTGCACTTCGAAGGCTGCGAGAGCGCCACTGGCGGCAGTAGCTATGCAACAAGGCGTGCATCAAGACACAAGAATCTGCAGCCCACAGTCCGCAGAGTACACTGGAACCACAGCCTTCCGGGCTCCTCGCAGCACTCCCAACTGACGGTCACCTGGCAGCTTGGAAGCTCAACAAAGACCTGCGCTCACACCGTGCTCGATTCTTCTGACATCCTGCCTGTTCTCCCCAGAGGGTGCTACAGATCGCCTTCTTCTGTCTTCTTTGTCCAATCACGGATGAAGGATATGAGAGATAAAGAACTGCCACGGAGACATCCCCGTCTGTCCACACTCAACATCAGAGCCGGGAGTGCCACGACTTGCTGCTCCGCATCGACACTCACCGTAGCAACTGTCAGGGATGCAGCCAGTTGGAACATGAAAGTCGCGCGACAAGCTTTAAGGATCAGATGCATGGCTTCTTTCGGTAGGCTTGCGGAGCCTGCACTGACCGGAGGGGCAGGGGCTGCAGGAGGGGTCACCAGCGGTGTAGAGAGCGTCGACCAGCAGCCTCCAGGCTGCTACAAGTAGCGTTCAAGAGCTACCGTGGCTGAGAGGAGCACCGTTCGGGCTCAGGACATACAGCTTCATGGTCGGCATTCTGCCCTCAGAACAAACCCTGATTTCGGAGCTTTCTTCCCATCGCCTGTGCCAAGGGCATTCGTCGCGGCCAAGACGAACGAGTACCTGTGCAGACCCCCAGTCACATCCGGAACCCGACGAAACCGTACAAGGTCCCAAACTCAGAGACCCAAGCATCGACCGGGCCTGGTTCCTGGCTGCAGACCATCTACACGAGCTCGACAAGGTATCTCGCGACGGCGGGAGACAGAGGGTGCTGGCCTTTCTCGAAAAGCTCTGCGCACATGAGCAGCATCGCCCCAGGGTGCAGGACTCCACCACCATGCACAGCATCATTGTATCTTCATTGATCTTCATTGGACGCACGGATCAAAACGTGCCTCGCCGGAGCTCTTTTGCATGCCAGGATCCTGAAGCACCAGTGCCGTTGCATGCGCTTCGAAAGAGCGCCTAAGGATTCCATGCACCGTGCGATGGAGAATAATGCCGACTTCTCAGAAGACACATGCCCAAAACACGCAGTCACAGGTGCAAGCCTTGATCTGCACTCCTGCGAAGGGCACCGCCACCTGCTTCACAAAAGAACGCTAAAACAAACTCGGCAGCATTTGTGCACGGACAAGTCTGCTCACAGCGTGCCTCCCGCTGAATGGTCTGGTTGGCAAAAGTTGCCCCTGCGCGCGGGAGCTGAGTGTAAGCATCGCCACTCTCAACAAATTTCGATTGGTCTGGCTTCGTGCGAGAACGCACCTTTCCTGCAGCTTTTCCATCACTAGAACCAGCACTGAGGCCAAACGGGCGTGAGGCAAGGCTTGTGCTTCGAGTGCCGTGCAGAACAGAAGGGCGGTTTGGACTCCCCTGGCACTACTCCTTCGGCATTCTATACTGAGCGCACGTCATGCTTGTGATTCATGTTTGAAGGTCGTCCGTGTTCATGTAGTGTGTGACACGACCCAGCCCGACAGAATGAGTACTCAGACTCGCCATGTCGAGCTGGCGGACCTCCCACGGTGGTGTTGTGGTGGATTCTGGACGGCAAAACACACATCCTTTACGCCCAGTGAACCACTCCCGTACAAGTAACCTGCAAGCTCAAACTAGCAAGATCCGAGCAAACATGAGGCCGCAGGATTCGTCTCGCTTTTTGCCGATTGCAGGCATTTAACATTGGGTAGATTGAAAACGAGCCAGACCAGGAGCCCGGCAAGCAATCCGCACTGCGCCTCCGGACTTACGTCTTCGGAATTTGAAGAGAACTGCGGCACTGCGAAGATTACGGCGAGGCTCTCGGCTGGACCCAGGCGCAGGAGGAATGTCACAGTCAGAGTTTGCCAGGCTGAAAGCCCAGATCAGGGTTGGAGGGTTTGGAGTTGGAACGGACATTCACCCCGCTGGCAGTGGCAGCACGGTTCCGTGTCTGTCAAGCTGCATGGTGTGAACATGTAGCCAATGATCACCCAGAAAGGAATCATGACTACGTTGGCTGAAATGGGAGCGGCTCCCGGGTCTTTCGGATTCCTTTTGGGGATCACGGACCGATACAGACATGTGTCTGGAATCTTTTCCGACAGAGTCAGAGGCTGCGGGATGCAGCCCGGGGTCGGCAGCCAGGCCCTCGGCCTGTCTATCCTGTCTGTGTGTCTGTGCATGTGCTGGACCCCGACCCCGGGGCATCCACGCTGGCGGGCATTAACCGAGCAAACACGCTTGCGCATCTCTGCTTCACTCATCTCGTCGCCACCTGTTTCCACTGAGAAAGCAAGCGAGCTTCCGCTACGGTGAAACATAGGCAGATCCAGCAGAGCACGCGGACGCCGTGCCTCAGCAAAAACAGCTGCATCCATCAGCAGTCTCACATGATCAAGCGCATGTCTCTCTGGCAATATAGAGCTTGAATATATGCCCCGACTCCGAACAACCGAGCGGCAAGCAGGTGTTCCATGCAAAATCTGTTGCTGTAGATCATTGAAGCTGGGATTCGGGTCATCCAGAATTTATCTGGCCAGCTGGGGCCGCAACATAGCACTCGTCACAGTCAGGTTGCTTCATCCTGTCATGTCAAAATACGCAACGAATCGAGATGCAATTCTCTTGTGCCACAGCCGTACGACACAGGGGTGCGTCAGGTCTCGTTTGCTCATCACATCCACGGCGTAATCTAGACGGAGGTGGTTCGCAGCCTTGCGCTTCCAGGAGACGATGTCTGATACGGCACCCCAGAGGGGATCGGCGTCGTGCCTCGCTGCCACATTTAAGCCATTGATTGCAAGCTCGGCATTCCAACCGTCGGAACATGCAGACCTGAAGGAGCTCGAAATCATCTGAGGCTCCGTCGAAGACTGTGAGGGGAGCGGGTCATCCTTCCTAAGAGTGAGGCTGGTCACACAAAGCATGCGTGTGCAATTGTTGCAGCTTCTGAAACTGGAGGCCTCCAGATGCCTTGCCCTGCCCTTCATAGCGCCGAGGAGTTCTAATCAACGTAGAAAATCCGAAATCATGCTTGAAGAGCAGTCGGGATGCTCGTCGTCAGAGCCGAAGAGCTCCTTCGAGAGCAGGGTTGCTGCAACGGAACGGCGCTTGCCACCTGGCTGACTGCATCAACCGATGGATCACCGATTGCAGGTGGTTGAGATCATTTGCACATGGCAACCCTACGGTCGAAGATCAGACAACCAAGACCCTGCGGTCGAGGGACCGAACGATCGAAGTGGGGCCTCGGGTTGCCAGCCAAACCCTTAACCTACAGTGCCTACAGCTCACAACCGGAAACAAACACACAACCCTGAACTAAACCGTGAACCCCGCGAGCTTCGAAACCCTCGACATCTCAGAAACCCTCCGGCCCTGCCTGGCACCGAGCCCGGTCTCCTAGCAGGACACCGATGCCGCCAGGGAAGTTAACAGACCCAGCTGGAATTGTCGTTTCTGCTGAGCTTCGCAACAATCGGTAAGTTGCGGCAAGCGCCACAAAGCTGACAACTCCAGCCCATTTTCGGTACTATGTTCGCTGTAGGAATCCGTGCTTGGGCTCTTAAATGAGACAACTGTTCATCTCCTTTGCAGCAGCGCTTGCAGGGCCCTCTCGTCGCTTTCTGGCCCACCTGCCGCAAGTGCATCTTGAGCAGTGAGGGGAACATGGCATGTCTGGGGTGGACTCGAACACCCTTGGCAGGACCTGCTGGAATAGTTGTGAATGAGGACACGCCGACTGTCGAAACTATCAGCTTCAAGGCCCTGCGTGAAACAAAACGCACACCTTCCAGGGAAGGCGAGTCGGCAGGCCTTCCGCAAAACAGTCGTGGAGAAAGACATGGGATCGCGTGCGGCTATGTTCAAGCTGCATCTAATGATCAGTAGTCGGTTGGGCATTGCGACTTAGCTGCGACGACAGTGCTGCCAACCCCACCCCACCTCTCACCAGGAGCGATGCTGGCACCGGGCGGAGTCCTCCGCATACACTGACTTGCAGGGCCCTTCGAACAACCCCTGAGAATGGCCATCGAGCCCGGGCCACTCCTGAAGCGATCGTCGCCAGCCTGTGCTCAGACGCCGGACAGACGGCCCAAGGGGCGCAGAAGGAAGAGCAGGTGCCTTCAGCTCACGCTTCTGCATCTCCATCCAGTCGTTCATCGCCTTAAAGGCTTCTACGTGCTTCTACCTGTCCTGCCTTTCCTCTTCTGTCATCTGAGGCGGTCGCCAGCCGGCTGCGCCTTACCTCTCGGAGCTCCTGCAACGTCGATGCTCGATCCTGCAGAGACGAGAGGGGACTGGGCAGCCTCAGAGAGGCCATGGGACCTTTAGTTGGCTCTTGCGGGTGCTTAGTGCACTAGAGTAATGCCTGTAGCTGCTGGAGACGGGCTAATCTAAAGGATTAGGTTTCGCCTGGCAGCCTGCTGCAATCTTGTAGATGCTGTCATCAAAACAACCAGAGCTCGGCAAGGCTCCGCACGTTTGTGGTGATCGTCGGCCCCTCAAAGATGTTTTTCAAAAGCATCGGTTCACTTCACCAAACGATGCAATGCATCGGAAACCACGTCTGACATACGCGCTCGGACACATACCGGAAACTGTACTGCACCTGCACAATCAGGTATAACTCTGGTAGCCCGTGTCCTCCTCGTTGCTTTTGCGGCGATCGGATGACCCCCTTGACCTACACAGATTGCAGGCACAGACACAGGCAGAGTGTTGGCGACAGCTGGTTGATGCGATGATTCCCACAAGTAGTGGTTCCAGTGCCCATTGAGACAAGTCGTCGTTGATTGGTCTTACATGTGTGTCATAGATTCGGTAAAGTGCAAGGCATGTGCAAAATTGTGCAAAGCACTGCAGCACAGCAAAGGCCTTGGATGTGGATCGTCTTCGCCGCCTGGTCCCATGGGCAAGACGGGGCGGACAGCACGTCGCCATGCAAACCCAAACATTGGAAGCAACTCTTCTGGGCCTCCATCATCTGGTGACCGCGGGCCCCTGCACGAAGCAGAGCGGGTGAACTCCCACTCGCAGAAGCTCAGCATTTGGTGACCCGGTCGCATCTCAGCAACTGACTGAGAGAGCTTCCAGGCGCTTAGATCAAGGGCCTGAAAAGCGGATGAAAGCTTCAGCTTCAGCGCGTTTGGCGGCTCCACTGTGTCTCACTGCCACCGGCCTGCTCGACTTCGGTGTCGAAGTGCTCGGACCCTTCCTCCGAGGCTGCCGAGGCTGCCTCGGCCTCGTCTTCCTGCGGAAATAACCGAACTCCGATGCGCACAGCCGGGTCACAGCCAGCTCGTTCCCTTGGCGGCTCCTCTGCCTCTGCCGTCTTGCTGACCTCTCGGCGATTGAACAAGCGACTGCCCGGATCAAGACTAGCTGTGCACGCAGGGCAGGTCTGCCGCCCGAAACAGCTCAGCACCTCACAACGCGCCCTTGCTTTGCATTGTATGACGTGTGGAGCCTGACAACCAGTCTGCAAGAAGCTTGCGTAATGTGAAGCCACGCAACATGCATGCACATGACCCACACCCCCGAAAGTGGGCTCAACGCTGTGCAGACCTGCTGGTGGCCATTTTAAAGGTTCCGTTTCTCTGAACCAAAAACATGCTCGAGCTCCATCAAGGGCTGGACATGTGGAAGACGTCCGGATTCGGAGCAGCTCCGCAGTGAATGCTTTCTGCCTGAGAAGGGCGTGCGGGCGGCACTGCTTCACAGCCCGGGTAGCATCCCGAGGGCCTTGAGCCTGTGTTCCTCTTCCATCTCCTTCATCTTGCGACGCTCGGCCAAAGCCTCTTCCCTGGAGAGTGCCAGGCAAACCCGCGTGTTTCGGAGCAGAGCCCTTTAGAATGGCAGGACATGTCCCTTCCGCACGTGACGTCGCTGGGCCTCTGCAACCCATCCTCGGAGAAGTGCTGCGTTGTTCACGGCTGCGGCTACCGAAAGCCATCGTTTCTGCGACTTTAACTCCAACAGTCCAACAGAAGCTCAGGAAGGAGGAGCAGCAGTCGACTATGTCTTGCCGCATGTCGAATCGAGATGGGCCAAGATTCGAGATGCAGGCGGAAGAAAGTCTCCGGCCGCACCTGACAACTCGTTTGGGAAGCTAGCACTTGCATCTGCAAAGTAGCTTTGTCTACACTGTACACTTGTGTTCGCCTCCGAAGGCACCGACAAAAGCCCGGAGCACCTTGTTGCTCTTTCCGCGGCGGCGGTCTGCGAGCTGCCGGACTTCTTCCTCGGCCACCTGTTGAAATCTGCCCAAAGGAAGCAACTGTTTGAGACTTCGCGGAGAGCCGACGGGTGCCTTTCTGGCTTCCTCACGCTTCTCCATCGCCTGCAGGCAGGGGGCAGACATGCCAAAGGGCCACTGCTGTAAGCAACCACTCAAGAGCTTGCGTCCTCCTTCTGCTTCTCCTGACCATAGTTGTGCAGCCGCAGGACCTCAAGGCTTCTGCGTTGCTGCATGCACCGTGCTGTAGATGATCTGCAAGCCTTTCCTTCAGAAATCAGTCTGCATGCAGTTTCCACTGCTAGCGCCTGTACCCTGACTAAGCGCAACCTTGGCGAGTCACGTCTGCTTGCGGTGCTGGTTGTCCGAATTATGTGCCCTCCCAGTCGGTGATTCAACATTGGCACCAGAGTCACGCTTCCTGGCTGAGAGTCTCTGCGAGATCATTCTGGCGCTCCTTGGTGAGCTTGACTTCCTGTGCAGCAGGGTCTCAGGGTGTCGGAAAGTAAGTATGGGTCATGAGTCATGAGTCCATGTATATCCCTGTGGCTCGGCGCCGGGGGTAACGATCAGCGCAGGGACTCGTGCCTTCTCTTTCTTTTCCTTGATGGCATGCAGCCCATCCTCGGCATCCTCCACAGTCGAAAAACTGCATTTTATCTACGACTCTCGAGTTCAGAGTCCACAGGTCACACCGTGGGGAGCAGCTTGAGCAAGAACTGCACAGCATGTTGTCAGCACGGTGTGACGGGTCCTTCTTCTTCCTCTGTCGTTCCTTTCTTTTCTGGGCTTGCGAGTATAGGCGATCCGCTGCCGCGGCTGCCTGCCCGATGAACTTGCTTGAGAACGGCAGAGCCGCGACCAAACGCTACACAGTCTTGAACTCAGTGGGAACTGAGCGGGGAGAGCACGTACAGCCATGCTCAATGCAACAAGTAAATGCTGAAACAGCTTGGCACTTCCCGTGGTAGCGCACCACATCAGCTCGGCAAGCTGCAGTCGAGACGGATTCGACAGTGAGGTGTCGCGGCGTCGCCTGCCCCAGAAAATCTGCTGCACGAGGGCTCCACGCACTCATCGAAAAGCCGCCCAACGTGCAATCCAAGTGGCCACAGGCGTGGGCTCCTCCTTTTTCGGTTCGCGAGGCTTCTGCAACCTCGTCCACACTGGCTCCTGTAGCTTTGCCGAGAGCTCCTGCTGCGGAGAGAGCCGCTGGCAGCAACAATCAAACATCCGTTTGCCACATCAGCTTCGGAAATTGCGGGGCGAAAGGCCACTACTTTTGCTGGAGGACAGCCCAGAGCCCGTCCGGATTGGCTTTGTGCAGCCAGGAAGGGACGTCCCTCCTCGAGCTGCGCTTTGAAAGCCCAAAACAGAGGAAGAGACGACTCCCTGAGAGCCTCTGAAGCCTCGAGCAGACTGTGAGAAGGATCCCCTAGGACTTCAGCCAAAGGTGCCGGGGCTGTCGAGGCTTCCGGAAGTGCTCGTCAGCTTCCCTCTCCTTGCTTGGGAGCGGAAACTTTGGTTCAAATTTTTTTATAGAAACGCTGCGCCGGGGGTTGAGAACAGAGAGGAGGCTTGAGCTCTTGCTGGCAAGGCTCCAGTCTCTGCCGCCTCTCCTCCTGCTGTGCCTTTTGCAGGAGCCCCTTATTGTAGAGGCGCTTGAAGTATGCCTCTGGTGGGAGCGCCAAGTGAACCAAAGAGAAGAGGAAGTGAAACACTGACAGAACTTGACCACAGCTGCCCTGCATGGAAGAAGTCAGGAAAAGAAATTTAGCACCTCCTGTCCCATGCCGTTGAGATGAAAATACTTCTGGCCCAAGCTGCCGTGCTTCCGGTCTGCGCTGCAGACAGGTTGGGCTCTGGCTTCTTAAACAGGCCCTCTTTCTCGTGCTTCTCCTGAATGGCAGGCCACATCTCTGGGACGTGGCGCCCTCGAGCACGGCGATTTCGGTCCTGCTTTCTCTTGTGGAAGTCCTTCGCCTCCGAGCGCGCTCTGAGCGAATCGAAGCTGCGAATCGAACCCCGGTCCCTCTCGGCCTCACGATAGAGCCGGTTGTAGAGGTCCTCCCTGGTCAACCGCATGAACCCTTCGTCTCCCGGCTCCTGACAAAATGCCAGGTGCCAAAGGCAGCAGCTCAAGGAAGCTCCCCGTTTGGGCGGGCCTGACGCTTCGTCAGAGGCTGCGAGGCACTTCTGGGAGTTCGCGGAGTCCTACCACGGAGCCCGGGCACAGGAGAATCCGCCGAAAGCTGTGCAGGGGTCCTGGGGCTCGTCTCGCCCGGCTCTAAGGGAGCCACTGACCCGGATGGTTCACCAACTGCAGACAGCTGCTGACAGTTCTCCAGTGACTGTTGAGGGATCTTCCTCTCTCGGTCGGATATCTCAGACCTGCTTCTGATGGAACCTCGCCCGGTGTCTGGAAGGCCAGCCTTGGCTGAGGCGATTTTTCACAACCACGGCTTCTCCGAGAGCCTCGAAACCCTCCGAGCTTTCCGAGTGGCCCGGGCTCGTTTAGCTGCTCGGCTGCCAGCATCCTTAAGGCTGAGAGGACTTCCAGACATCCCCTCTTAACAGCAGAAGAACCTCTCATGTGATCAATGCTTTCAGCTCGAGTACACGGGAACAAGGATGGTTTGGACTTACGTGCCTTCACTTAGCTGCAAGGTGCGGAATATCAACCTCATGTTTGATTTCACTCGGACCCCAAAGACCCTCAGCATGTCCGTCTTTCCCGCTGAGCGACCCGGGTTCGACGCGATTCGCCGCAACGCGAGGCAGGGACGGGCTCAGTTGTTGCAGCCAGCGAAGGTCCTGCCCAAAATTTGGTCATTGAAGGCTTTGAACTACGCGGAGAGCTGCTGCGAACTGCTTCTTCCGAAAAAAGCGGAGTCTCCACCCAGTCCATCACAAGCCTCGAACCTGGGGGAAGGAAGTCCTCGGCACGGACGGACGGCCTGGCCAACGTGTCGTGGCAGCAGATCCTCAGTTGCGCAGCACGGGGCTCAGAGCAGCAGCAGATGGCATCCTTACAAAACAGCGGCGGCACTTGAAAACAAAGGCGCAGGTGCCCAAACCTGCGCGCTGCGCCAATGTGCTTTAAAACAATGCCGGCCTTGCGGACCGAGCGTCATTCGAAAGATGCTGTCAGCCTCGCGTGGCTCCAGGATGCCCGAGAGGAGGGACCGGAACTCCTGCGCTTTCCCGGTCAGACCACTTCGAGAAAAACTTAAGCAGCCGTTTCGCGGCGCCTCCTTTCGGAGCCGCCGGCCGCCACGCAGGCCTCGGCGAATCCCAGTGACGTGCACTGGCACCCCGCACGGTCTCTGCACTTTTCGAGGCGTTGAGGCGTTGACCCCAGGATTTCGCGGCCTGGTCCACGCCGCCAAAGCGCGAAGCGAGAGCGGTGGTGAACTTCCCCAGCACCTGCAAAACACCAGTCAGCCGAGGTCGAGCCTCTGAGATTCGCACGAAGGCAACCACCGTGTTCACAACCAAACCTCGGCAGTGGGCCAATCGAGCTCGCAGATCGTGGCCTGTTTGCGGGCTGCAATGTCCCAAGGCCGAGTAACGCCGAGCATTCCAGCCTTGCCGGACCCATCAGCATCCAGTTCATGCCAGGCGTCACGGATATTGCCACGATAGTTCATTCGGCGACACCTCGCAAGTTCGAACACAGACCTGCTGACTTGACATACTGCTGTTATGCGGATGATTGCCATTTCGTCTGACATCTCTTGTGTGCCCTGACTAAACCACAGAAAATTCTGTGCCCAACGCTTGTAGGGCAGTGCCATCAAACTGCAACTGAGGCCGAGACGCTTCGCAGAACTCTGCATGCGTCACAAAGCCGGTTGCGGAGCCTTCAGCTGCAAGATCTCGCGCGGAGGTCGCGTGGCAATGCATCCCTGCTGCCCTCTTCATCGGTATACGACACTTCCAATTCCAGCTAGACAAGGCAGCATGTTGGATCCTGCTGTACTTCGTGTTATTTCGTGCTGAGCCAGCAACTGTCCAAGATTCTTCTCCAGCCAGCAGCAAAAGATCCTGCCAGATTGCAAAACCTACTCCGGTCGCGCTGGGTTGCAGTTGCAGCACCTCTGGTTGTACCAGGCAGCACTAGTTCTCACGCGAACAACTTTGGAAACAAGCCGACGAGTTGAACGTCAATCAGTGTAGGCAGAAGCTGTCGAGCATAAACCTGGCATTCCCATTAAACGGCGCTGACACAGAAATCTAGACTCGCTTCTTCATGAACCCGTTGAGACACAAGGCCTTCTCGGCGCAAGAGCTCGGCACGGAATTGGCGCAGCGCTGCACCAGAGTTCGGGCGAACTGGCACACAACAGAGTTAATCCGAGCCAGCGAAGTAAAAGCCGTCATGATCTCTTACCCTGCCCTAAACCCGAGCACAGGTTCGGGAAGAACTATGCCAGGAGCACGGTTTTGGTGGACACGAACGCGAGGCACGAGTAGTCACGAGCAAGATGTGCACGGCATTTTGGTGGGAGCACGACTTTTCGGGGGGCGGACACGCCGAGATACGGCGGCGAAGCAGAATTTCAAAGGCCCTTGGATTTCGAGACCACACCAAGGAGCCCCGAGGAGGCAAAACACCGGACCAGCTTGGACGTTAGGGACCTCGAGCGCTTTGAAGGCCAAAATCGGCGTGGGACTGTGGCAAACTGTGGCAGACGTTTCCATCCACGGCAGGAGCACCATTCATAAAGATGGACAACACGAAACTTGTGGTTTTTACTATGCTTCTCTCGTCCGGGGCCTGAGGGGACGGAACGCGAAATGTGCACCGCTACTGCGAGAGCCGCAGAACCGCCGCGGGTGTGCATCCGCCACGAACACTTCTGCAGGACAGCAACCAAATCCTCTTTACTCTTCGTTACAGCTTCTGCTTGTACCGGGGAAGAGCGAGGCAGACACCCTTGTGCTCCACCCATGTTGTCCATCGAAGCGCGACGAAGTCTGAGGTCGTCGTGGCACGAAAGTTCACAGCAGAAGCACAAGTACAAAACCGCTGAGCCATTTAAGGGAAGGCGAATCTCTGTGTGCCAAAGGCGCGTGCCTGACAACATATTGACAAATCCCGAAGAGTGTCAGAGTCCACCTCGCGCCGAGTTGGGTGCTGAGGCGCTGCGCTTTGGAGACACGGGGCGTGGCGAGGGCCTCGAAGAGAGGTAATTACTATAGCTGCGAGCTATACAGCTACATCAAGACATAAATGGAACAAGCCCGTGGCGTCGTCGCACGGGAGCTCGTAGCCCCTCCGAACTCCTGCAAACCGGCCGGGTCTGGTGTCAAATCCATGGTGCGTTTAAAGGACGACACTCATGACAGCTGTGAGTTGACCGTGTCCTCGACGAGCCAGGAGACCGGGGTGGCTGGAGTTGCCAGCGACGATGGCATGGCGTACAACTTCGCCGCCTCGGCTATGTGCTCTTAGTCTGGGTGCTGATGTCTCTTTCTTTCTGGCGGGCTTAGGGGTCGTCCAGGCGACCCTCAGGCCTTTCCCGCCCGACCACCCATTGTTTTATGCTGATGTCTTTCTTTTCCTTTCTGCCGGCTTAGGGGGTCCGCAGGGGACCCTCAGGCCGATGTCTCTCTCTCTCTCTCTCTCCCTCCCTCCCTCCCTCTCTCCCTGTGCGTATGTATGTATGGATGCACGCATGGATGCATGCATGCGTGGATGGATGGGTAGGCTGATGCCCTCTTGGCCAAAACCTTTTGAGGACTTGACCGGGTCTCTGCCTGATCCAGGCAAGGTGCTACCACGGCGGGGATCTGTAGGAGTTCATCACTTCAGGATTGAGGGGTTCATCTGAGTGATGGCTCATCTCGAGCGGTCGAGTGTGGCTGCAGGACACGCAGGACACGCATGCTTCCCGTTGCCGCCTGCGCTGGGGCTTCGGTCGGACTCGCTGCCCTGGACTGGTTCTTGAGCGACGGCTAGAAGTGCATGGAGCTTTCTGGATCTCGGACTGAGTCTTGATGGTGCAGCCCTGTAGCATCACCACTGCAGAAAAGCCTCACTACTGTAGCGTGACTGGATCGCCCGCCTGCGAGCTCCGGCTTCGTCGAGGGGAGTGACCTGCATCTCCCCAACAAGCAAGGCTTTCGCCTTCTCTAGTGGCACCGTTGTCTCGATTTCATGATTCGTAGCATCCGAATTGATGTACTGTTCTTGGTGTCGTGAGACTTGGGTCTCGCAAGAAACCTCGCAAGAATGGGAAACTGGATGCAAGCTGCGCGTGTTGTTCGTCTAGAATGTCTAGCTGCTTACAATTGTACATTGCACCCTCTATGCAGCACCTCAGATCCACCCCCTCAAAAGACGTGGGTGCAGGAACAAGTTACTTCTTCCTGCCTGCGCTGCCACTGCGTGAGGACTTGGCGGTCTGCCAGCACAGCGGCACATGAAAACTAACTGCCCTGACAGTGGCTGCTATGAAATCGCTGGCCACAGCGATCTACGAAGGTGGCCACACAACTCCTTAGTCCTTAGTACCGAGCCAATGACTCCGAAGGCAGCATCCCTCGCCTCCGCGTGCCGCCGTGTGCGCGAGGCTCGCTCGGCGCTGTGCTTCGGGCCGGCCTTTGGAACGGACCCCGGCTCCAGTAGCGGAGTGCGGATGCATGATTACCGAGCTCGGGGCCATCTCCACGATGCTGGCCCTGAGAGAGCGGCTGCCTCCACTGAGCCAGACCAGTGAAGGCGCGGCTCAGGTGCAGTCTAAGCCAGAAGGCTTTCGAGGAAGAGGCTCAGAGTGTCCGACGTCCCTGCCCGGCCTTTGCTGCTGCGCCCCGGGCGTTCCTGGCGAAGCGAAGTACCCGGAGCTGTTTGACATCAGCTTCACGAGAAGACATGTCAACGTGCATGAGGTCTAGCACCCCTCCCATTGCCTCCCGGAGGACCCCAGACCTTCACAAACCTCCGGACCCTTTCAGGATTCCGAACGCTCCCGTTCCCCCCACTATGTTCGAGTCTGCTCCCTTACGTAGGGCACATCACCGGACAGAGCAGTGAGACTACTCGGAAGCTCGGCTCCCGCTAACTCTAATGCAAGACGATTTGATGACTCGGGAATCCCAAATGCACAATGGATCCATACACGCCGCCGACGAAGCACTATCTGCCAACATCGTGCGCTCGTCTGCACGTGACACATACGAGTCGGCGAGGTGGCACGAGTTGATGGTCATTGTCCTTGAGCCCAAGCCCCAAACCCCTCCACCCTAAACCCCCAAAAGCCCACCTAACCCCCAAACCCCTAAAACCCGAAACCCCTTACCCTCAACCACTGAAAACCTAAACCCCTACATCCCTCGAACCCTAAAGCCCAAAACCCTGAACCCCAGCCTCCTATACCCTGAACCCGTAAAGCCTTGAACCCCTGAACCCAAACCCAAAACCCCCAAACCCAAACCCCAAAACCATAAACACCTGAAACCCTGCTTAACCCCACGCCACTCAAACCCCAAAACCCCCAAACCACCCGCAAAATCCTTATCCCTTCAACCCAAACCCAAAACCCCAAACCTCCAAGCAATGTACCCCTAAAACCCTATTTAACCCTCAGCCCCTTAACCCTAAACTCCTAAACCCTAAAACCCCAAACCCCAGACCTTTCTCAACCCCCTAACCCTAAACCTCTAAACCCAAAACCCCAAAAAAAACTAAACCCCTGAACCCTCAACCCCTAAAAGGCTAAAACAATCCGCAACCCGAACACCCCTTAACCCTCAACACCCAACAACCTAAACCCCTAAACCCAAAAACCCAGAGGGTTTAGCCCTAAACCGCCAAGCCCTACACCCTGAAACCGTAACCCGCAAAACCCTAAACTCCCAACCTCTCAACCCCAAAAACCTAAACCTTGAAACCCTCACACCCCCAACCCCTAAAGCCCTACTTAACCCTTCCCCCCTCAACCCCAAAACTCCGAATGCTCTAAACCCCGAAATCCTTAACCGCCAAAAAAAACCGTAACCCCGCCCCAAACCGTAAGACCCTAAACCCTAAACCTGTAACCCATAAAACACTAAACCCCTACGCCCTAAAACCCCTGAACCCTCAACCGCCAAAAACCAAACCCCGGCACCCCTATAACCCATAACTCATACAACCCTAATCCCCTGAACCGCAGCCCCAAAGACCCTGAACCCTTAAACAACCCTAAACTCTCCAAACCTACTCCTCAACCCTCAACTCCTAACACGCTAAACTCCTAAAGCCCTACAACCCTCATCCTCTAAACCCCTAAGCCTAAACCCCTGAAGCCCCAAACCCCCAAACCCTAAACTATAAACCCGTAACACACAAAAGTCTCAACCCTTAACCCTCAACTACTTAACCCTAAGCCCCTCAACCCCAAACTCCGAAACCCCTAAAGCCTCAACCCCAAAAAACCGAAACCAATGCATCCTGAAGCCATAGACCGCCGAACCCTAAACCCTTAACTCACAAACTGTAGTACTCTAAACCCCTAAACCCCTCAACCCCCAAAAACCATAACCCCTAAACCCCTACACCCTCACCCCCTAAAACCCCCTCTTGGCTCTTAAACCTAAGCCCCTTAAGCACCCAGATCCTAATACCATAAACTTCGAAACCCTCAACCCCCCAAAAACACTAACCCGAAGCCCTAAACCGGAAAGACCCTAAACCCTAAACCCGTCGTCCATGCAAACGTAAACCCCGGGTTGCGGCTCGGTGTGCCTGATGGCTCTGGGATGTGTCGCGTAACCCCCAAAAACCTAAACCACCAAACCCCAGAACCCAGACCCCTAAAACCTACTTAACCGTAAGCCCCTCAATCCTAAACTCCTAAAGCCTAAAACCCCAAACCCCAAACCCTTCTGAACCCCCCAACCCTAAACCTCTAAACACTCAACCCCCAAAAACCTGAACCCCTGAACCCTCAACCCCTAAAAACCTAAAAAATCCGCAACCCTCAACACCCAAAAACCTAAACCCCTAAACCCCAAAACCCAAACCCCTAAACCCTGAAGCCCTAAACCGCCAAACCCCAAACCCTGAAACCGTAACCGGCAAAACCCTAAACTCCCAACCTCTCAACCCCAACAACCTAAACCTTGAAACCCAAACACCCTCAAGCCCCTCAACCCTAAACTCCTGATGCCCTAAACCCCGAAACCCTTAACCGCAAAAAAAAAACGTAACCCCTGAACCCCGAAGCCCCAAACCCTAAGACCCTAAACCCTAAACCTGTAACCCATAAAACACTAAACCCCTACGCCCTAAAACACCTGAACCCTCAACCGCTGGCACCCCTCGAACCCTACAAAACCGTAAGCCCCTCAACCCTAAAATCCTAACACCCCAAACCCCTAAACCCTCAAGCCCAAACCCCCAAACCCTAAACTCATAACCCATGACTCATACAACCCCAATCCCCTGAACCCGCAGCCCCAAAAACCCTGAACTCTAAACTCTCTAAACCTACTCCTCAACCCTCAACTCCTAAGACGCTAAACTTCTAAAGCTCTACAACCCTAATCCTGTAAACCCCTAAACCCCTGAAGCCCTAAACCCCCAAACCCTAAATTATAAACCTGTAACACGCAAAAGTCTCAACCCTAAACCTTAACCCCCAGAAACCTAAACCCCTAAACCCCTTAATCCCGACTTAGCCATAAGCCCCTCAACCCCAAACTCCGAAACCCCTAAACCCTCAACCTCAAAAAATCGAAACCCCTGCATCCTGAAGCCATAGACCGCCGAACCCTAAACCCTTAACTCACAAACTGTAGTACTCTAAACCCCTAAACCCCTCAACCCCCAAAAACCTTAACCCTTGAACCCCTACACCCTCACCCCGTAAAACCCCGTTTTGGCTCTTAAACCTAAGCCCCCTACCTAATACCATAAACTTCGAAACCCTCAACCCCACCCCCCCACCCCCCCCCAAAAAAAAAACAAAACAAAAAAACTAACCCCGAAGCCCTAAACCGCAAAACCCTAAACTCCAAACCCGTCATCCACACAACCCTGAACCCCGAAACCCCCAAAAACCTAAACCGCCAAACCCAGACCCCTAAAACCTACTTAACCGTAAGCCCCTCAAATCCTAAACTCCTAAAACCTAAAACCCCAAACCCCAAACCCTTCTGAACCCCCTAACCCTAAACCTCTAAACACTCAACGCCCAAAAACCTGAACCCCTGAACCCTCAACCCCTAAAAACCTAAAAAAATCCGCAACCCTCAACACCCAAAACCTAAACCCCTAAACCCCAAAACCCAAACCCCTAAACCCTGAAGCCCTAAACCACCAAACCCGGAAACCGCAAGCCGCAAAACCCTAAACTCCCAACCTCTCAACCCCAACAACCTAAACGCTTAAACCCTTACACCCCAACTCCTAAAGCCCTACTTAAGCCTCAGCCCATCAACCCAAAACTCCTAATGCTCTAAACCCCGAAACCCTCAACCCCCCCAAAAAACACAACCCCTAAACCTCGAAGCCCTAAACCATAAGACCCTAAACCCTAAACCTGTAACCCGTAAAACACCAAACCCCTAGGCCCTAGGCCCTAAAACCCTCAACCCCCAAAAACCTAAACCCCTGCACCCCTCAGCCCTACAAAACCGTAAGCCCCTCAACCCTAAAATCCTAACACCCCAAACCCCTAAACCCTCAAGCCCAAACCCCCAAACCCCAAACCCTAAACCCATAACCCATACGACCCATACAACCCTAAACCCCTGAACCCTCAGCCCCAAAGACCCTGAACCCTTAAACAACCCTAAACTCCCCCAACCTACTCCTCAACGCTCAACTCCTAAAACGCTAAACTCCTAAACCCTCAACCCCCCAAAACCAAAACCCTCAAACCCCGAAGCCCTGACCCGCCAAACCCTAAACCGCAAACTCCTACACTCCTACCAAGCTACCACAAACCCGACACCCCGAAACCCTAAACGCCTAAAGCCCTTAACCCGAAACCCGAAACCCCTAAACCCTAAACCCCAAAACCACCGAAAACCCCAAACTCTTGTCACAGTCATCACTCCCACGGCCGGGCTCAGCCTGCTCAGTCGCATTCTGCTTCTCGGTGCTCCGAGCGTCCTCGACTTGGGGCAAAGGGCGATGTACAGCTTCTTGAGAGTCATGTAGAACCGAACGAGCCGGGACATGAACTTGTAGAATCTACAGAAGGATCGAAACGAAGGGATAGAAGTTGAAGCTTGAAACTCGGATTGGGAATTCAAAGACCTCGTTCTTGCGGCTGCAGTGATGGTGGAGAATCGGTGCCCTGGACTAGCTGATGTACTATCATACCACATGAGGTCCTGAGGTTATCTCACACTACGGCATGGAGCACTTCATCGGCATCGGGTCGCAGAACGCAGCATCGCAAAGCATAGTAAAGCAATGCGAGCAACGACTGTTGACTCCGAATGTTACATCAGTACTCTGAATGTTACATCAGTACTGAACCCCGTGCTAGTTGCCATCGCAGTACACTACTTGAACCAAATAGTTCAAGATGGCATGAACACACATCTTGAAGCCTGTGTTACTTCCTTTCGAATCTTGGTAGCAAGAAGGCCTTGACCTTGGATGTCGTGTCCCAAGCCCTTCGTTCCCGAAGCCCGCACAACACAAGTTGCGCTCGAGCCTTTTATTCCGTCTACCAAGCCCTCTTGAAAGACGCGGCCTTGCGCGCGAGGTTTCCGCGGTGGATGGCCTCTGGTCAGGCAGGTGCAGGCTGGCCCAGGCTTGAGACGCCTACAATGCAGAAACGGAAGGAAGAGTCGCGGTCCTGGATCTTCGTGGCTGCTTCCTCCTCTGTCTTGCTTTGAGCTGCCTGGCGCAGCACACCACTGCTAGCAGAATACAGTCTTTAGCCAGTCTGCACCGCCATGCAAGTTTAAGAATCTGCCCCAAACCGTCACAAATGTGCGTATGAAGAATTGAACCCAAGTGACAAGCAACGATGAAACCAACATCCCAAGAGACTGGGCAACATTCTGCGGCTCCTCCTGTGTGCAGTTACTGCATTGTCAAACTTCAAATTCGGTAGGAAAACCAGTAAAATGCAAATTCTCTTATCTCACATCCGGCGAGACGTTCGCAAAGTTACCGAATGACATGGCGGTTCTAGTGCGAACACCAACCCCTGAACTCCTCAGCCGGTCTGAGAACTCTCGAGACTGGCGGCTCTCACAACGAAGGCCAGAGCGTCTAGCGCCTAGAGCTAGAGGATAACGACGTAAAAGGGAGTCTGAATCTTTGTGGCTGCCTCCTCCTCCTCCTCCTCCTGCTGTTTGCTTGGAGAGTCCTACCACATTGCCACAGTCTTTCACTAGGATGTTTACAGAACCAGCTTCTTGTCCAGCCCACTGGAACCCGAAATATCGATAAGCACTGCTGTGGCACGCTCTTCGTGCAGGCACCGTGCTGTCACTGAAAACTGGACCAAGGACGAGGAAACACGTCTCAACAAGCCGAAACCTGGCACATTGATGATCCCTCTGCATCCGTTGCTCGGCACGGGGCCTTCGCCGCCTTCTCCGGCTGCTTGCAGCGGCCGTCCTGCAGATCTTGATTTCGCGAAGCTATGCCGACATACATAGATCGTTGCCGTGTGCTTACGACTTTGTGCATCGGAAGAGATCCTTGACGAATTAGCTGGGGCACGAGAGCCTAGGCGGGGGTTGAAGGCAGTCTGATGTTCAAGTTCACGGGAAGGCGACAAATCCAAGGGTTTCATATCTGGGCGAGATGCTCTTCGCGAAGCAACCACATGACAAGGCGTCAGCTTGTTCTCGTCGCAAACTCGAAGCCCCGAACATCTCTTTCATCCAGCTTGCAAGCCCGCAAAGGAGTGGCCTTGCGCGCGAGGTTGCCCCGATGGATTGCCTGTTTGCACAGATCGGCATTGGCAGCTTTACTTGGAATAACCAGCGTGAAGGGAGCCTGAATCTTCGTGGCTGCCTCCTCCTCCTCCTCCTGTTTGCTTGGAGCTTCCTGGCACATTGCTGGAGTCTTTCGCAAAGCTGTTAGCACAGTGAACTTCCCACCCGAACAACAAAGGTGCTGGAGCTGTTTGAATCCTCGCTCCCAAATCATA